TTTAACTATTACTTTGCTTGAATAGATGTAAAAAAGCATTAGGCTATAGAAATGTGTTTGAAACATAACTGGTAATGGAAGAGTGTTACTCCTCAGGGGTGTCAACAAATTAATTAAAGAGAAAAAAGCAAGAACGTAACTTGTAAAAGCATCATCCCACCTGTGCAAACTCTTCACTGTGTCTGCAGGTCAACTGGTTGCTGAGCCCGGGTCTGGTTTGGACAAAAATTCCAGGTTTCTCCCAGACAGGAAGGCCAGGAAAAACCTTCTAATCTTGAGTCACCAACCTAATACCAAGTAATGGTACAAAGAATAATTAGTGTGATGTCCAAAAACATCAGAGTACTGAGTGACCATAAAAGCTAATGATCATACTGCACCATTAAACTATAGCTGTTCACGAGAATCCATTGACCACTGTTGCAGAGCTCGAGAGGAAAGTCAACAAGCATCTGAGAAGATGGCTGGGAGTGCCGCCGAGCTTCACCGTGGTAGGATATATTGGAGCAATTCACCTTTAGTGAGAACTAGACTAGGGATATTGTAATTATACTGCCTACAACCAAGGAGCTTTCATCTGTGATGAAAGCTCCTTGCTACAACACAACTGTTTTCTTCACTGGGGAACATTACATTAACATTGTAAAGAGCCAGACTTTCTAATGATCCAAAACTTTTTATCTTCAAAGAAACAAGTCTAAGGTAAACTGCTTTGTAAGTTGAAAAGCATTGTCTCACCTGTAAAATTTCTTCATCCCACCAGTCTTCAAGTCAACCAGTCTTCTCAGCCGTCAGCTGGTCTGGTTTTGACAGGAGTCGCTGGTCATCACAGGTTTCTCCCAGTCAGGACAGGAATATCAGGATAGCTGACACTCAGGACACACCTACCGATATGAACAGGATGGTTATTGTGTGTGATGCAACACTGAATGACCATTAAAGATAGACTAAGTGATAAAATTGCACAATTGGGCAATCCCTTTCGTTGAATAGATGTACAAAATCCTAGGCTCTAGAAAGTTGTTATCTATTGCCACATGCCTCAGAATTGTGAAATGCCTTTAGCAAACTATAACTTGTAAATTGATGACCATTGTCTCACCTGTACAGACTCACTGTCTTCAGGTCATCTGATTTGCTAGTCTGGACTGGAGAGAAGTTGCCGGTCACCAGGTTTCTCAGAACACGAACATCTGGTCTTGTCGGGTTTAGAATCATCACTGCAGTCAACTGCATCAGTCAGCAGTCACCTAGCTACATAGACATTAAAAAGTTACATGCTTGTCTCAATTAACACTAAGAAAACTACTATACTGGTACAATTTACGATTTAGTTTTCAAGTTCTCACCGATATTTCTCTTGGGTCTTCAAAACTGGTCACTGAGATTTAGGCAGGAATCAACGTCACTGCTGCATCAGTCAGCAGCCACCTAACAATGGAAACACAAGTTACACACTTGTAATACAGTACTAAGCAATTGGTAGGCAAAATGCAGAATTTTTTTCTCACCTGATATTCCTCTTGGGTCTTCAAGTCACCTGGTCTGGTCCAATCCACTGTTGTCAGGTTCAGACAGGAGTCCCCACTACTGCATCAGTCAGCAGCCACCTAACTATATACACATTTATTTAGAAGTTACACACTTGTCTCAAGTAACACCAAATAGTTGTTAAGGTAAAATGCAGAATTCAGATTTTTCTCACCTGCCCCAATACTCCTATGTGTATCTGATCACCTGGTGCCTCTGTCATCACAAGTCTCATCATATCAGTACTGAACACCTGCACTGGTTGCTGACCCTCAGAGCACAGCTCACTACAGGATTCTATGAAAAGAAGAAATAGTGTATAGTGTATTGTCAGCTAAAGCTAGAAAGTATAAAATCAACGGATGACCTAGTGTGAAAAATTCACAAAGACAACCATGAAGCAAGAAAATGAACAACTTTACAAGCAAGATATTTGATAAATATAAAACACATGGGCTGCCTATCCCTACACTTTGTTTATGAGAATCATTTTAATTTACAAGAGACATTTTGAGGAAAAAAGTTCTTGTGGATCTATATGAAATCTGGAACTACATTTTGGGGGTAGGAGGGGTATTTTCAAAGGAAAATGACACAGTAAGGAAACAATAACAGGCCCGTAACTATTGGGGTCGTGTGGCGTAATGGCAGAGCATTCGGCTCAGAACCAAGAGGTACCGGGTTCGAATCCTACCAAGGCACCAACTTTGGGAAAGGCACTTAACACGACTTTCCTCACTTCACTCAGGTGAAAATGAGTATGCCAGATGATCATGATCGTGGGCATTTAAAAAGAAACCAAACCAACTAAATTACAAGTAATACTATGCATTTGACAGACAAGATACTCATTTTGTTCTTCTACCGCTACATTTTAAGTATCTTTACCAAATTGAATGCTTACTCTCAACGCTAGCTTACACACACACACTTTAAATTTCTTCACTTCAAAGTTTAAAACAAAGACCTCGACGAAAACTGTACCTAATGACCATAAAGATCGGGGTAGCAACAATAAAATAAATCCAACCCCTTTAACTGAAACTTTAACGTTACCTAGAATACAGCAGGGCTCGAAATTCATTTTTAGGAATAGGTAAAATGCATCCAACCCAAAAAAAAACTGCACAAAAGAAATGTTTGGGTGCACCGTATAAAATAAGTAGAATGTCAGCAAAAACTAATTTTGTTTTACTTCTAAAGAAAAGCAGTACAATAATGATTTTATCATTTGGTGAAGAATATGCTCTATACTACTATACGTTTAACATCTTGACATGTGTAAACCTACGAATTCAACATTTTTGGGTGCACTGGTGCACCAAAAAAAAATTGGGTGCACAGCTCTAAATTTGGGTGCACTAAGGTGCACACGCACCCAGCATTTCGAGCCCTGTTATGTAATGATATTATCGTTCTATTACGTAACGTTACACATGCACATTCCAACATGTGTTTTTAAAGCACACGAAGAAAAACAAGTTTTTGAGCGCTTTCTTTTTCTTACATTAATAAAACATAACATTAAAGATGTTGTATAATTGATAAAAGAGACCTACACATACATTTAACACATACCGAACATGGAATTTTTTTTTAAATTTATACTTCCAAGCACGTGGCTTCATAAACCAGGCACTGAAGTTACAGAATTACTCCATTTCTTACTGAATGTAAGAATGTATTCAATTTGTTGAATATGACATATTCAGCCAAATATTATTGTTTACCTGAAGCAAAACGCAAAGTAACGTGTCTCCGAACGACGCAATTCATCCCATGCCGGCCCAGCTATCTCGCCATTTTGTCGTCTTCTCCAAATTTCACCAGGTCAGGAAATCCCTATTTTCTCCTCAAAACATCACAAGAACGGCAACACATCTACCGTGAAACCTTCTCCTCGTTCTCCCGCACAGTTTAGAAAGACTTTTTACCGACAAAAATAAAAAAAGTTCCCGAAAAGTTGCATAAAAATAACACTCCAGAGCATCCCCGTCGTACCAAAGCGCCATTTTGAACAAAATATGCCCAGCAGCTTTTACATAGAAATGCAAATTTTTGGCGCCCAAACAACCACTCTTTCATTGGTCGAACCATTAATTGCCATTTTCTCATTGGTTGAACTGATAATTTGGTCAACAATCAGGATCGGTCTGTTTCGTACACGTGCACATTCCAACAGGTGTTTTTGAACCACATGGAGAAAAACAAGTTTTTAGCGAATTTTTTTTACAAATTTGAATTCACAACATTGTATAATTGACAAACGAGACCTACACATACATTTAACATACACCACACATGGAAAATGTTTTAAGAAGAGGGAAAATTAGCCTTTTCAGAAGACCGTGATAGTCTTAAACCAGGAATGATCGCCCTGAAATTACAGAACTACACCATTTCTCATGGAACATAACTTGTTGTATGTGACAAGTCCTTTACTAGTTGTTAGGTATAATGTTAGTCAAATAGTTTGTTGTTTACCTGTGAAAAACGAAGTCATCTCTGTACCGTGCACTCCATCCCAGCTACATCTCGCCATTTTGTTGTCTTCTCCAAATTTCACCAGGTCAGGAAGTCCGTATTTTCTCCTCAAAACACCACAATAACGGCAACACATCTACCACGAAACCTTCCCTTCGTTCTCCCGCACAGTTTAGAAAGACTTTTTACCGACAAAAACTCGAAAAGGTTCAAGAAAAGTTGCATAAGACTAACACCCCAAAGCATGTCCGTCGTACATAAGCGCCATTCGCCAGACTTGTTTTTACACAGGTGTTCAAAATTACCCAGTATTAACAAGTAATATGACGCTGCCAATCTCATTATGGGGACAACTTTAATTATTTAAAAACGACTTATACATACACCATTTTTGTTACTGACAAAGTTTTCACGAACAATATTTCTGTATAGCTTATACATGTTATACAACGAATATACTTCAGCGAATGAAACCCTATGTTACATATCATAGAAAATCGCATGAGGTCTCCAAGCAGATGTTGGGGTGACATATCGTCGAGTCTACGATCGTCAATTTGCCATATCGTCCAATACCTCATACGATAGTTGAGTCGAAAATACCAAAGCGGTTAATGGAAAGCGAATGATGCCCTCATATTTCCTTATCCTACCCATTACGTGCAAGATATGATGTAACGTTAAACATTAAGATACATTAAGTAGGTGGTGTTTTATGCCCGGACATGGTGTTATATGGGCTTCTCTTGAGGCGTCTAAAATCGAGCCTTCTTATGTCGACTCGTTCCTTGTAGGTCATTCTAGATTCATTCATTCTAGGTCATTCTGGGAAGATGTCTACGCCTATTCAGAAAACCGTTTTGTGAGTAATTCTAATCAAAACCGTCACATGTATAGTCACATGTATAACAGAAACCAGTCATTGACACAACAATATATACTGGATATTTGAATGGTTGTCAATAAGTTGATATCAATATGGTGGCTCAGCCCTGATTTTCCATTTGCCTTTCTTTCCGCAGTAGGTATCTGTTCGCCAGACGGTCTATTATAATCTGCAAAACAGGACAAGATCGTTTAACAGATGAAGTACAATTCACGTCAAGTCAAACTTAACCACATAAAAATGTATGATTTAAACACTAGTGAACAATACCATTGTTGTGAGGTAACACGTGCCTTTTCTTATCAATCCGTGCTCAGACCGATCTACAAAAGGACAAAACGTGAAGTCAGGATAGAAAGGTATTTAGTAGATGTTCTTGCTCTCAAACACACCTTGAAGATTTCTTGCCTTTCTCGTTGAGACGGTGACGGTGGATTGATGACGCCTCCCGGTGCCTGGAGCAAGTCAAAACAGCTTTATACGTAACTTTACCAACAGTTAACTACAAAAACACAAACCTTTACTTTTGCCGCCTTTGCTTTTGTCAATTTTTAAAGTATCACGACTACTAAAATAACAAAGAAATTCAATATTGAGATCTGATTTTCAGGACAGGACGTCGAGAAGGGATCAGTGAAAGAAGAAAGAAAATTTCCAAAGGTTATGGCATTAGATATTGGATGAAAAAAAAGATTTCAATTTCACCAGAGCATACATCAGTTTGGTACTTACAGTTGTGTGGGGAGGGTGTCTGTTTCCCCGGCGGCACACGGCACACAGGAGGCGACTCACGCCGGTCTTTACAAACAGGAGCACGTTGAAGGGCGGCGCCAGGGACAGGTCAACCCGCATGTAGAACAGCATGTTCTTTATGATCAAGAACGTCCAGTCTCTTCGCTTGTCCTCCTGGAGGATCATTAAAGAAGAACTGCATAAGAGCAAGTCATTGTGGTCTTAGTCGTATAGACGAAATTATACCATTGTGATCTTTTCCTACGGATGCTGATTGGTCCAATAGCTAATTATAAATTGACCAATCAGTGTAATATACTATATCTGCTCTACGGGGATACGATACTTCCATGACTCCCGTGAACTGATATTGATTGGCTGCAAATGACCAATAGGCAAGTTCAATGAATTTCTAATCATCATTAGATTTCTAATGTCTATTCTGATTGGTCAATGTTAAAATTCAATGACCAATCAGCATGGAGCTCCATGGTAACATTATTGACACTTGCCTGTGTTCTCTGGTAAGAGTCGCTCATGATGGCGATGAGCAGGTTCAGCAGCACCAGAACCACCGTCACATGGAACAGCGCAAATATGAGCTTGCCCACCGTCTCCGTGAGACGGGGCTGTTCCAGGATCCGGAAAACCTCCAGCGTACTGTTGCCGGGCTTCAGCTCCAGCATGGACAGGTCACCCATACCGAAGGCTGTCCAGAACAGGCTCACCATGGTACTGACAAGACTGGATGACGACAAATAGATGCATATTTCAGTCACTGTGTCAAACTGTTGTTAATCTCGTCTTCATCCCACATACCTAAAAGGTTAGACATCCAGGTAATAAGATACACCAAAAACAGTTACTCAAGCCAATGGATATGATTTTGGAAACCAGCTGCTTGAGTAACTGTTTTTTTGGCGCATCTTATTACTTGGATGTCTAACCTTCGCCGACATACCTACACATGCTTGCAAAGGATGGGAGATCCACAGAAATGTTACTGTCAGAAGACATTATACGTTAGTCTACTCACGTGCTGAATCCATGCGACGTTTGACAGTCCACTGTTTTGAGGTTACCATTGGGATACCTCTCACACAGGTACTCGTGAACAGCGCCGTAGAACCAGTAGAGCTGGTTCAACCCGACCGCGAAGGCGAACGTGACCAAGATGGCCATGGTGATGAAGTTCACGATGTCCGAGAACATCCTACCGACGGAGATCATCAGGGTGCCCAGGTATCTGTTGTGGGTGAAGATGGAGACGGTTCGCAGGAACACGGCGATGACGAAGAGGGAGAAGAGGACGTCAGACAGTACAACCGGCTGGAAAGTGTGAGGTTTCGCCTTTATCATCCATTTAGTGGCGAAAGTATCGTCGTAGTCATCGAGCTGTAGAAACAAAAACCCGTAACTTGTTACAAACGTTTTAACACAGACAAGCCTTTGATCAATAAATACATGGGCCAGTGACCTAAAACTGTGGTCAGGCGAAGATGGAGAGCTTGTATTGAACGTTAAGCCCCTGTCACACATAGTCAAATGTGTCCTCAAACACTGCCGAACTGCCCCCTAACCATGGATAGGAGTAAGACGGGAGCAAGTTTGGATGCTGTTGGCTGGTGTTCGGTAAGGCCGGTGTTCCGGCTACTGTTCGGCTGCACTAGCCGAATGTTTCCGAGTGTAAACGGGAGGCTCGGCTATGGTTTTCTGGTGTTCTGGAGTAAAATGTGACTCATATTTCACTAAAATTCTATTCGATTTGTACAGAAAGGTAGGCGTGGTCTAAATCTGGTCAGACTGCTTTCGGACTTCAGCCAGAATGTGTGACAGGGGCTTTATGCTGCCCATAAGGGCACGGTCACATTTCCAAACCGGGCCCGGCCGGGTTGTTTGCGTACGTGAACGAACAATTTGTATTTAATAAGAGTATACACAAATAGTGCCCATGGTTAATTTTCTAAAACTTTTTGTGTTTTGCTGTCGTATATAATAATTTTCGTTCCATACGACTGCCCGGCCGGGCACCGGGTTGGGAAATGTGACCTTAAGGTTGACTAGCCTTAGAATATCTTACCTGGGTAGCCAAAAACAGAAGTGCGAACTGTGCCAGGTACAGGGCCACGATGAAGAAGTCAACAACGTTCCAAAACTGTTTGAAGTGCCTCACCAAACCCTCCTGCTCAACTTCGCGTAGCTCTTCCAAAAGGATGCCTGAAAAATATAGTCATGATAGTTCGTCGTCGTGGACATTGTAAGAGAAATGGACATATTCCAGAAGTAGAAACCTATGGCCAATTAGATACATAAATGTATAGGAAGCGCAAAAGTATGGATAAAGGCACTGTTACAATTCATTAACAGTGTAAACAGCAATTTGATCCTAAAAGACCTATCCTGTCTGCCAAACACGATTGGCAGTTAAACCAACCAACCAACCAACCAACCAACCAACCAACCAACCAACCAACCAACCAACCAACCAACCAACCAACCAACCAACCAACCAACCAACCAACCAACCAATCACATACGCAGCTTGGCAATTAGCGGTTCGATCAATAAGAGAGTGGCTCCATGTTCGTCAAACGTTTGCATTTTTATGTTTTTATGTTGTGTTTCTACGTTTTGATGAGGGTTCGCGGGACGATGGGGTCGGTCTTTTGGGGCATTGGAGATCAGTTGCGATGCAGAAGAAATGTCTTTAAGAACATTGCAGCTACACTTACCAGCCACCCACAGCACGTGGATGATTTCTACCGCTATTGGCACGAACGGTGTGGGTAACGGTGTGCCCTGTGCGATACTGTCGACTTCAGCCTCTCCGATCTGAATGTTCTGGGTCTCAAACAACAGCAAGGCCATCAGCACGAACCAGGACATGTTCCAGGAGTACTCGCGGACGAAGTGTAGTCTCGAGAACCTGCCAATCTTTGAGGCAGAAAAAAAATAGATGTTTTTGTGATGCTTAAGCTTTCTAGTACTCGTACCCCTCATCGCTACTGTGTATATGTGGAACAATAATAGACCGACCCTGAAGCCCCGCCCACCTCCGTCGAAACATAGAAATACAAATATTTGACGGACATGAAGTCACTCTCTCATTGGTTGAACCACTAATTGCCCTTCTCTCATTGGTTAAACTTCTAATTGTGATGGACATTCGGGATCGGTCTATTGTGTAGTCAAGGTCAGCAGAACGTACTGCACCTGCACCTGTTTTTGTTTGATGTTTGGTCAATGTTGAATTAGAAATTTTCCGACACAATTGAATTAATACTATAGACTAAACATCACCCTTAAATACGCGAATGCGACATTAAACCGAGACGTTCTGTTGAAGTGTTATGCACAATACATTACGGGATTTGCGTAGGCACGATACGTTCCACCTATGTGTTAGTCAAGCTATACTACTGACAAAATTAAATGCGAAGCTACTAAAATGACAGTTTGCAACAAATGCTTGTGATCACCCACACGTTAACAACCAATTTTTGCAACTATAAATTTCCAACAAATAATCGCACAGGAGGATTCTAAAATTCTCGTTAACATGTAATACCACTTTCCCAATACACCTGGGTAGTCATGACAATATCAGGTTGCTGATTTCATTTCTTGAAGTACCTCTATAACGTTACAACATTCACTACGGTGACTCATGTAACGTATTTACGGTTATAACAGTACATGTACCACCCATCCAACATTTCACTCCAACAGATTGGAAAAGAGCATTTACCTTAGATTCCGGTGCTATTATATACGCCAGGGACAGGAGTGGGTATGACAGTGGAATTGCTACCCCCCAAAGGGCCGCAAAGACAACAGACTGCTCCTGCCAATTGCCGACTACTCCAAAGAACTCTACCACGTCCTTGAGCTTTGACTGCACGATGTACTCCACACAAAAGGGCTGTGTCACGAACTAAATAATGAGAAAGATGATTATAAGATAACATGCATGATCAAATATTAGAATTCTGCGATTCAAGTTCAAAAAGTACCGTGGCCGACAAGAACAAAATTTTACACCGCAACTTTTGGTGTTTTACACCGCAACTTTTGGCGTTTTACACTGCAACTTTTGGTGTTTTACACTGCAACTTTGGGTGTTTTACACTGCAACTTTGGGTGTTTTACACTGCAACTTTTGCTGTGTTTTACACTGCAACTTTTGCTGTGTTTTACACTGCAACTTTTGCTGTGTTTTACACTGCAACGTTTGCTGTGTTTTACACTGCAACTTTTGCTGTGTGGAAAACTTACACCCCTCCCCTTTTATAATGGACGGTCCCCCTGTCAGGTCAAAGGTGACAACGATGGCATGCAAACTACGTCGACTGAGTTATCCTTTTCGTGCATAAGTTTTTTTAGAGGAAAAGCTTGGCTACGTTGTGACGTTAGTTTTTTTCTAAAGGCCTTTGAGTCACGTGACATTTTCTAGCTAGAGAATTCGGACTCGCAAGGTCGCTAATAATTTGATGAGTAAATATTGGGCCTATGGGAGTCAAATGTGGCACCACTTGGTACTATGAAGCAATAAAGACTTATTTTCAATTATGAAGTGTTGACTCTTGACTCAGGTAAGTTATCGATCATTAGGGAACAATACGAGCGATCGCCATGACGTCACCGTAGGCAAAAAGTGGGTGCCAGTTGGCTGATTTGCCTACCAAGAATTTGCATATGTCTTCAAATAATTTGCATGCGCATAATGTAAACAAAAACAGCGATCGCTCGTATACAAATGTAGAATAATATTGTATACAATATTTATAGTTAATAAGACATCTAATCAATGTTAATTAGTCAATCACTAATTTATAAACTGTCATCATGGAGGCAATACAGTGTTGTGTAAGTATAGTAAAGTTAGAACACAAAGAAGAACAGACAGAATTATAAATCATCAATTTATTCACAGCTTGATCAATTTCTTAAGATCCCGTTCTGTTGATGTCTCACACTCAGTCACAGCACGACACTGTGACTCTCAGGCCGCCGCCATCTTTGTCACCTTTGACCTGACAGGGGGACCGTCCATTATAAAAGGGGAGGGGTGTAAGTTTTCCACACAGCAAAAGTTGCAGTATAAAACACAGCAAAAGTTGCAGTGTAAAACACCAAAAGTTGCAGTGTAAAACACCAAAAGTTGCAGTGTAAAACACCAAAAGTTGCAGTGTAAAACACCAAAAGTTGCGGTGTAAAACACCAAAAGTTGCGGTGTAAAATTTTGTTCTTGTCGGCCACGGTAAAAAAGAGTTGCCAGCCTCTGTCTTTCTCTTTCACTGTGCCTCTCTCACTGCTTCTCCACCCCTCTCGAAATTCTGTCTCTTAAAATTTCTCTAGACGTACGATATACTATAGCCTGATGTCCAGTCTAAGGTGGCTGGGGCGGGCTGTCATCGGGATGGCAGGAGCTCTTCACCGCCCGGCTCAACTAGGCTCCTCGGTAGGTTTTGTACAACGGGTACAAGCACGATGTGGTGGGGCTACATGTTGTACAAAACTTTATTAAAAGCAAAGCTCCTACAGGTGTGACACTCCCATCAGCGGCCAATAGAGCTGAGCGGGAGAAAATTATTAGAGCCCCGAAGAGAGCCCACCCCAACCGCGGTAGACTGGGCACCAGGCTAACGATTACATGTACCTGTCGTAGCTTGAGGTCCGCGGCCAATTGTAGCATGCCAACCGTCTCATCGGACCGGGCTTCCGGATCGTCTGTGTGCCCCAGGATGTCCAGTTCTTCCTCGGTGCGCACTTCTTCCAGCAGCTCGCAGGCGAACGTCTCACACCCGTCCGCCAACTCCTCCAGCTCGGTACGGTACTGCTCCCGCTTCCAGCAGTGGTCTCGGAGAGCCTTGGCCGTCCGGAAGGCCGTACGGAACGGGTCGGGGCTGGTGAGGAGGATGTAGGACGGACTGCACGCCGCACGTTGGGCGTCTAGCCAGGCGTTGGCTTGGCTGACGGAGAGTGTCCACTGGTAAGCGTCTGGTACAGGTCTAGGGAAGCCCGCCTGAAGCAGCATCTCCAGGACGGCGTAGTTGTTCTTCAAGGCTGCCAGCATTACCGGAGTCATGTGGCCGGGGAAAGCGCTGCTGCCGAGCTGAGGAATGTACGAATCGTCTGATGTAAAACAATCATCAGGACTGACCAAAGACACATGAATCTATCGACTTTCCTGCGCTGTACAGGGCAGATTCAAGGCTAGGATGCCCACGGACTAGGTATGGCCATACCCTGGTCCCATCAATGGTCCAAATATGAATAGGATACGCATATTGAAATGAAGATATGTGCACTATAATTGTCATTGTCATTATAGATTTAAAATGAGAAGGGCTTTTGCAAACGTGCTTGCTACACGCCGCATGTCCTTGGTGATACATGTAAATAAGTAAGAATCTTTTGAACCAGGGAGCTATCATTAACGGAGATATTCACTATTATATAGTAACGGGGCTATTTACTATTATAGCAAGAAGGGGACATATGTTCATGGGTGAAAACTCTTTTAATTACACGTCCACTTTAAATTGACTGCCTGTCTTTTGACACTGATCCCTACTCAGTCACGCAATTGAAAGAAGATTCCACAGATGTACTTTCTCATACCAGACATGTGAAACTACCCAGAGAATAAGTTTTTGCTTACAATTACAGGATCCACCAGTGTAAGGAGGGGAGGATCATATTATCAATCATAGATAACCCGGGGATTTGAAATAATCGGCCTCGCGTGCACAGCATATAATGATTACCACCAGGTGGCTTTTTAGATGATCATGTTTTTGTTGCTCAATTGGAATGTCAACAATGGATTCATAGGCGTGGATACAACACATAAAGAAGAAAACACAACACTGCTAGGTATACGTATGTCACACATTGTACATTTTAACATTTGCAAGCGCCATCGATATATTATTTATTGCAACTTTGTTAATATACATTTGTACAACAAGAAAACGCCGATTGGGTTTATGGCAGTTTCCGAGTTTGTAACGTACATTCAGGTTCACTGCTAAGCGCTAACCGATCAGCTGTGGATACACCGTTCCCTCTTAATTAGGCCTCTTGCTTATTTCCGCCGGAAAGCGATCGCTAAAGCGATATATTAGGAATTTGATACAAAATGATTAAGTATGACTTAAAACTTAACAAAACCCACAAAATGTAAAAAACAAAATTGTTCTCTATGTATGAAATTCGTTGAGCGATATGTCAATTTTTCGCTGCTCAGTGGTAGCAGCGACTAGCGAAAAGGCTTTAGTTTCTTACCTCATGTTCCCTGTCATCTGGAGGGGTGGCGGCATCCCTAGGAACCCTGTCCACCAACATCTGTACAGCGGCCAGGTCTTCCCTGTCCACGGCGTGCAGCAAAGCGGCCCCGACAGGCGCACCGTGATCCAACAGAACACCGGCCGCCTCCAGGGAGCCACAGTCAACGGCAAACTCCAACCCAGACCGTCCGAACTTATCAGTAAACAGCCTGAAGTCATGAGGACCGTTGCCGAGTTCCCACAGAAGCTCAGATAGTTCTGTGGCGTTGTTGTTACGGACGAGTGTCAAAAACCGGCCCTCCATGGCCATGGTTAAAACTACAGTGGTCCTTAGACGCTAAACGGCAAGTATAATGCTCTTATACACGGCACGGTACGAAACATGCTTGGCGCATGGTCACGTGCATGTAGCCATGACAATAATAATAATCATACTAAGATACGTATTGTGCTGTAAGTGTGTGTTGTGTATGTGGTATTCATGCACATACAAAGTCACATACCTGCACATGTGCCAAAAAACATAACCCTCTGGTGACGGTAATTCGTGGTTCAATATTATTTCCCAACGGTCAAAAATGCAGTCATGCATTATATTGGCAAGTACATGTACATCACTTTTGAAAGAGAGAGCTTTCTGTTCTGCAAGTTGTGTTGTTCAACCCACGAATGGCAACCAGGATATACACATAGCACACTCAACGAATCAACCATAGAATATTTAATGGCATCCTAAATCTACATATTGTTGTACTTTGTGAATACATATTGTTATACATTTTGAAGTTAAAGCCACGTTATTCACCTTTTCTTTCATCCTGTGAGCGTCTAAAGTTATTTCATGGTCTATATTCTCAACCTCTCCATTATATTGTTAAATACAACAACGCTGTACAGCGCATCGAAAAGAATTTTCTGCCAACAACCATCTATGTGAAGAAAAAACACCAACAAAGTGATTCAAAACCAAACGGAACAAAGTCAAGACCTAATATTCAATGTTTTGGAGCAAACTTGATGATGTTTACTTGCATATGGTGATCAGACGATTCAGAAAATGTGCCACAGGTAGTTCTCATGTGTGAAGTACGTGTTAAGAATAAGATTCCATGTAGTAAAGATAGCAAACTACACGCTGTTTTAGAAAGATAAGTTAACGTACAAATTCGGGAACAAAAGTTGCTAGTCATTACGACATTTGGAAGTAACATGGTAAGCACGCTTGGGAGTACACTATCATATACAACTGTCCTTTTATGTCTTTTCACATGTTCACTGTTACTCCAGACCCCTTTCCTTGCGGAGCAAATATCTGGCCTTAAGACTGCCAACAACCATCTGTGTGAAGAAAAAAACACCAACAAAGTGTATCAAAACCAAACGAAAGTCAAGACCTAATATTTAATGTTTGGAAGCAAAATTGATGATGTTTATTTGCATATGATGATCAGACGATTCAACAAATGTACCACAGGTAGTATAGCCTCCGTAGCTGGCTTATAGAACTGTGGGTTTGGTGGTCTTCGGCTTTTTTCTTATTAGCCCAGTTCTAAAAACGAGGGTAATCCAACCAGGCCGGCTATGTTGTCTATATGCAATCAGAAAATAGCACATGAAAGCTCCCAAAGACCCTGCAGACCCCCCAAACCCCCCAGTTTTTGGCATGCTATGGAGGCTAAGGTAGTACTCGTGCTTGAAGTGCGTGTTAACCCTTGTCCTGCTGGCATTCCTGGCACAATATTTTTCAATATTTTCATGTCTTGATTAGATAAAAAAAAACAAGATTTTTTTGCCCTGCAGTGGCATAGTTACTTCCGCATTCGTTGCGTTTCTCTGCGGTGTAATCCGTTGCACGAGAAATACCCCCAAATTGTACCTATGCAGGGTGCTATATAGATGGTACTGTATGTGCCGCGCAACATATGTTGCGCACAGCAGGACAAGGGTTTTTAAGATAGAACTAATCTGAAGCTCTATTTGGAACCCCGTTGGTTTATCCCTATACTTACTTTGTACACATCCTGTTTCACTGTCTGTGGTGACTGTGACGGATGGACGGCTCTCTCTACCTGAAATAAACAAAGATATTTTAGTAAGAGAAGCAAAATGCAAACTCTTCACAAGAAGGGGAAAATATTCGAAAAGCAGATTTGAAATCAAAGTTCACAAAAAAAGGATCTAGGAGGCTTTTGTTCTATGAGCTACTCAACATTATTTCAGCGCTCGAACTTCAACAAGAAAAATTGAAATTGGCTTAACCATACGCATGCACGGATGTAGAGCGCAATCTGTTGCCAAGGTGTTCAAAAACTCATTCTTTCCATAAACCATCACAGAGTGGAACTCGTTGTCACCAAGTACAATGTGGGGCATCATCATTAGATAGCTTTAAACAATGTTTAGAGTTAGATGTTCAAAGGGTAGGTGTAACAAGGTGTTCGTTGTAAATGTAGCTAGCTGCCGCCGCGCCGCGGGCCTGCGAAGCTGGTGTGTTTAATACGCCTAAGGGCGGTTATACCGGCTATACATGTACATGTACATGTACAGATACATAATCTCCAAGCAGATCACACGATGGCAAGGCAGTATCCATTGGCCAGAGTGTCCATTAGCCACGGAAGGCTAATGGATACTGTCTTGCCACCGAAAGGGATCTGCTATTACAGATATTGAGATACAGATGTGTTAGTCAATGACAGATTATACCGATTATACCTACATTAGTGTCTGAATCAGGAGGATTGTTTCGCCGACAGCACAGCGCCAAAACCAGACGGACCAGAGCGTTCCTCACAGACATGATGAGGGCGAAGGGTGGCGGCAGGGACACTTCCAAGTTCATGTAGCGCAGCACATCTTTCATCACTACAAAGGCCCAGTCAGTGCGTTTTACCTCCTGAAACAGATACAGACATGGGTGTTGTCGCAAATTGGTAAACTAAGCAGTTAGCCAGATGCAGTATTATACGTATATTGTGGGGTCGTGTGGCGTAGCGGCAGAGTGCTCGACTCGGAACCAAGAGGTCCAGGGTTCGAGTCCTGACTTGCCACTGATCTTGTGCCCTTGGGAAAGGCACTTCACACGACTTTCCTCATTTCGCTCAGATGAAAATGAGTATTGTAATGTCACCTGTGTTGGTGGTGGCATTAATATAAGTTGAAAAAACTTGAGTGTGCCGCCACCACGTCTTGTGATTACATTTTGGAATATAAAAAAAAATATTATACGTATAGAAGGAACCGAAACGTCACGCTCAAAGACGTAGTCTGAAAGGCACCCAAAGCGATTTCAAAGCAGTGAAACTCGATATTCAAAGTCAATTATCCGGTCATTTTTTAATGCAGTATTAAATTACGTATAAGCTGAATCAACCCTATCTCATAGCATACTGATATCTGTGAGGCCCAAAAGGGCGATGTCGCTGACGGAAAACGGTACTTGTTTTGTATCGTATAGGCTGTTCAAGTCAAGTTATCCGTCAAACTCTAGCTATTTATTGGTGGTACCCAAAAATAAAGGTACTCCTAACGTATCTTTTTGGCCATTTGAAACGCTTCGAGTATTAAATGCTGACGAAAATGTGGTATGTAAGAAATGGAAGTACTGTAAATGTCAATATCAGATTTCCGTATCCAGTATCCTTTTTTGTTTTGCCACACTGAAATTACATTCTTTGCCTTTAATGGTAAGGTTGACCGATGCATCTTTACTAAACTATACTATACTATACTATACTATACTATACTATACTATACTATACTATACTATACTATACTATACTATACTAAGTACCTCTGTCCTCGTATACGAGTCGCTCATGATGGCGATGAGCAGGTTGATCAGTATCAGCACCCCGATGACTTCAAAGAATCCAAACACCAGTTTGCCGGTAGTCTCCGTGATGGCAGGCCATTCATGTATCTGGAACTCTTTGACCGGACTGGTCCCCGGCTTTAGGTCCAGCACGGACAGGTCAATAAGACCGAAACTAGCCCAGGACAGGGACTGAAAGGAGTTCATAAGTCTAAAAAAAAAGAAGGACATAAGCTATAAGGGGACTGGTAACATCAGCATCAGGGTCTGTTTTTTCCATGATGTGAATAGCCATTGCAAAAAAAAAATCATTCTTTAAGCACGCCTTTAGGTATTCGTTAAGGTGCCTTTCTTTCTTAGCACGTACCTTAACGCATGTTTTAAGGTGTGCTTAAAGAGAGAATTGCCATCAAAAACGTTGATCAAGAACAATGTTGCGAGGAAGAAAGTTGGATTTACTACTTACGTGTCGAAACCGAGAGACTTGGAACAGCCCAAACTTTGCAGGTTGCTCTGGGAGTAGTTTGAACAGAGGTAGTGGTGCATCGTCCCGTAGGACCAGTACAGCTGGTTCATCCCGCAGGCAAAGGCGAACAGAATCAGCCAGCCTGTAGTAGTAGCAGCAGCAGTAGTAGTAGTAGTAGTAGTAGTAGTAGTAGTAATAGTAGTAGTAGTAGTAGTAGTAGTAGAAGTAGTAGTAGTAGTAGTAGACTTGTTTATTAGACCTTAGCAAAAGATATACATGCCTCCTGGCAGCCGTTGAGGGCTGAATTGTGAGGCTACGTACATGTATCATTCTACAAAATGATTATACATTTACAGTTGTGACCGTCACAATACAATGTAAGAATTTGCTCGTTCAACATTAAAAATCCTAAGAACAATTACGACCAAAGGTAATTTACAAAACAAGACTACGTGTATAACAGTGACTGTCTGAATAGCCTCATGTGCAGGCTCCGGGCGGGTGGGAGTTTTGATACTGCGCTTTGTAGAGGGAAGGTTCTTTCAATTGCCGGCCATCCTACAACCAGCCGCGAGGGAAGGTTTCCATCCGCCCGTCAACAAAACGAAGTATCAAAACTCCCACCCGCCCGGAGCCTGCACAGGAGGCTAAGTACTATACCTATAGCCATGAACTTCGTGATGTCTACAGTCATTCGTCCGATGGAGATCAGCAACATCCCCAGGAAACGTTGGTACATGAACAGCGACACGGCTCGCAGAAACACGACGATCGTGAAGATGGAGAAAAGGACTTCTGCCACTGCGATCGGCTGGAAACTGTTTTCCATCGCTTTGCGAATCCAAACATCGGCGACCGTCTCCTGGTCTGTATAGACGTCGAGCTAAAACATGGAAACAAAAGTACCAAGGTAGTCACATGTTTCATGTAAGACATCACCAAATCGCCAAAACTCAGCTGAAATTTCAATCCCATACTTCTAGTGGAAAACAAAAATACTGAGGAATTTCTTCTTACCTTTAGATAAGCCACAAACCGGAGGGCGACTGTTGCAATGTACAGGGCAACCATCAGAAAGTCCAGAATGTTCCAGAACTGTTTGAAATGGTCCAACAGACCTTCATGCCGAACTTCTTGCAGGTTTTTCCATCCTACATCTGAAAAAAAAAGAATTCCCTACGTTTTACTACGGAGACAAAACAATAACAGTTAAGGGTGATATGATATTGTCATACGTATCTGTATCGGTATAGCCGGTATGACCGCCCTTCGGTGTAACACACCAGCTTCGTAGGCACGCGGCGCGGCGTAGCTGGCTATATTACACCCAACGACTTGTTACACCTAACCTTTGAACATCTAACTCTAAACATTGTTTAAACCTATCTAATGATGATACTTGACTTGGTTCCACTCTGCTATAGTTGTACGAAATAATGAATTTTTGTACACCCCGGTACTTACCAATGGCCCAGATCATGATCAAGATTGCGGATGGAGACATTGGGACACTCGGTACGGGAGTGCCGTTGACGATACTGTCTATCTCCGCCTCCCCGATGCGGTAGGATTGGGTCTCCACCAGCAGGAGGATCAGCAGGACCATCCAAGAGAAGGTCCAGTACATCCCGCGGATCACGGAGAGACTGGAGAATTTGCCGATCTATGGAAGATGACAAGGACAAGTCAACAACTGTGTATATATCCAGACAAGAGCAGAAGGACAAGAGCAGAAGGAAGACAAATACACACAAACACACACACAGACAGACAGACACAAACACGCACACAAACAGACCGCACACACACAAACACTTAGACACACACACACGCAGATACACACACACACACACACGCACACACACACACACACACACACACACACACACACACACACACACACACACAGAGAGAGAGAGAGAGAGAGAGAGAGAGAGAGAGAGAGAGAGAGAAACCCTTTCAACCGATAGATTCCAACGCAGTACCAGTTCCTATCTATCAAACTTCGAAACCAATAGACCGATCCCGAACGGATCCAAAAGTTCAACCAATGAGAGAATGGCAATTAGCGGTTCGACCAATGAGAGAGTGGCTGCATGTCCGTCAAATATTGGCATTTCTATGTTTTGCCGGAGGTGGGCGGGGATTCAGGATCGGTCTCCTGCATATCGTATCATCCTTCCAGTACCACACAGGTAACCGTCTCCCCACCTTTGACTGAGGCGCCAGGAGATGTGCCAGACACAGGAGTGGATACCCCAGCCCCATCGCGATCGACACGATCACGGGGTAGACGGAGGACGCCGTTTCCCACTGCTGGAAGTACTGATCGAAGTCCGACAGCTCCTGGTACTTCTTTTCGTTGATGTAATCAAAGCAAAGGGGGTGCGTCGCGAACTAATATATCCGGGGCAAAGAGATTTTATTACTACATCGTAAATTCTTAGCATGCCACGGTTGCTTGCTATGTGATAATACATGGGAAAAAACACTTTTAGTTGGCCACGGTAAATAAAATCGACCATCTAAATGTAACATGAACAAAAAATAAATCGACCATCTAATGAACAAAAAAAAAACTCCTATCCCATGAAAATTACGAAACTGGCAAATTGATAGCGATCCACCAACATGTGTTCAGCCCTAAAATCAAGTCATCATTTGCAGTTTGTTCTGCTAGAAAATAGCGTTAGCATCTAACCTGCTTTAACTGGAGGTCCACGGCTAGCTGGAGAGTAGAGACAGACCGTCTGTGTGGGGAGTCCTCTGGACTGCAGAGGTGCTCGAGGACGGCCTCGGTTTCTTTCGTTGAGCGTGCTTCGCTCAGCAGCTCGCGGGCGAACGCCTCACACTGGTCCGCTAGCTCCTTCAGCTCGGTCCGGTAGTGCTCCCGCTTCCAGAGGACGTCTCGCACGGCCTTAGCCGTCCGGAAGGCCGTAAGGAACGGGTCGGGGCTGGTGAGGAGGATGTAGGACGGACTGCACACGGCGCGGTAGGCGTCTAGCCAGGCGATGGACTCGCTGATGTCGGTTGACCATTTGTAGTCATCTGGAACAGGTGCAGGGAAGCCCGCCTGAAGCAGCATCTTCAGGATAGGGTAGTTGTTCTTCAGGGCCGCCAGTATTACCGGAGTCATGTAGCTGGGGAAAGCGCTGCTACCAATCTGCGAAATTGAATATGGTTGCACATGACTACATAAGGGAAATTCATGTCCGCTAAAGTTAAAGTCAGCAAGTTTTAGGCAGCGCCAGTCGAATGTTTCAAAATGTTTAAAAAAACATTCGGGCGTGGACAAGAGGTTAGGCCATGGTTGGCTGGTGGTTGGTCGGAGCGTAGTTGGCTATCAAATTTGACTCAAATTCGATTAGCAAAGAACGGTAGGCGTGGCCTAATTCTGGCTAGACTTCTCCTGAACTTCATCCAACCTTGGTCGGCTGGTGTTCGGGGGAAGGTCCCGAATGTTCGACAGGGGCTTAAGCAAACGTAAGCTGTGTAACCTGCTTATCTTTAGGAGACCGGTCAGACGACATAACTTAGCCCCAGTATATATTTTAAGCCTTCAACTGTTTACAGACAAATCCCGTTGGGTCTCAACTGCAGTGACGCACCATACAAATATGTAGAAGTAATACGGAAAACGGCAACAATTCTAATGGACAAGCAAAGTATACCAACACTGTATACACCTCACCTATATACTGTATACAGCGAATAAAAAATCACGAGCGGTCCTAATAGAGCGTTTTTATGGATATTGTAAACACTGGCATACTGAAAACTGTTTGCCTGGGTCTTTTCAATGTGTTTGCATTGCTTAGACGAGAATGTGGAGTTATCAACGTAAGATACAACGACAATATGACGCAGCAAATGCTACTTCTAGCTACCGTATGTTGCGTATGTATCGTTACATCTCTTAAAACTGGTAGGTATTTACTCACTTGAGGGTCTACATTGTACGTCCGACGTACGCTCTCTGTTAACGCTCTCTCTTTCAGGATCCGCACTGCGCCGACGTCCTGCCTATCGATGGCGTACAGCAGGGCGTCACCCACGGGCGCGCCATGGTCCAACAGAACCTCGGCCACTTCCCGAGACCCAGAATCCACGGCCAGCTCCAGGACTGACCTGCCGAAGTCGTCCCGAAGCGTCCCGAGGTCGAGAGAGACCTCTGGGCTGGCGTTCGCCTCGCCGAGGGCAGCAGACACATGCGAGACGTCGTTGTTACGAACGAGATCCAGAAAACGTGCCTCCATGTTGATGAATGAATGTTTGGGAGGTGACGTGTGATGATGACTAAGTCTTAATCTTTGGTTAAGCGCTCACGCCTACCGGTTGGACGTATTACAGCATGGTACTAGCGTGAGAAAACCGGAAAAAAGTGCGATCCTTGTCCGCATGATTAGTGGCTTAGCAATTGCCTGAAGGGACATCTTTACAATGCTACCGGCAAAATAGAGGGGTCTGGCAGATTATATGTCTTCCACTCAATTAGTCCTATTAGGGGGTTACAATCCAGTTAATGCCTTAACCTAGTCTCTGGCCCAAGGACTTTTCCGTCTGAGCACTTAGTATCTGAGATTTTCCCTAGAGTCACTGGGAAAGGAAATAAGATCTTTGCCTGTCATATATGATTTTTAAGAAGAGCAATCACTTTTGCACCGTAAAGCTCTCATTGCCAGTATTAGGCATCAATAAATCATGAAGATTCAGTAAATAATACGATCATTGCCGGCTCGGTAATCCTAAGGGATTTATGACGTCTACATGTCTATGTATAAGCCCATTATGGTCGATGCTTATGAATTTAAAGACATCTTGGTAAAGAACATAGAAACAAGAATAGAAGTCGTCCAAGTACAAGTAACCACGATATGACGCAACCTGTCAATGTCTTTAAGAGTCCATACCTGGCAAGACGCAGTTAGGACCTTACGATGGAACAGTACACAACTACACATGAAATTTGTAACAACACTCTGTTCGGATTTTCCTCACACTTTCTTCGTAGAAACTGATAAGTTTGGGTCACTAGTACTCAATCACTCACTCTATGACTACTGCCATTAATTTATATTGTATGTTTTTGTACTCCAATATGCTAAACCTCCTTATATGTATAGTATATTTTGCATCTCAACAGTTACTTTTTGCGCATTTCGTTCTCTTATTATTTACTTCATGCGTTATATCTACTTTACATCTTTTATATTTTGCATATCACATATACTATTCAGTACAGTTGAACAAGATCAGGGTTGTAAGGAATATGCTAAGGCATAGATCTAGAGCACAGGCGCCTGATCTGGTTTGACGAGTCTCAGTCGGTGTTTTCTCTCTCTTTCCGGAGACGGTACCGCTTGGCGAGTTTGTCGATAACTGCCTGTTGAAACACACAGTTTGGCTTTATAGAAACTGTACAGGATTGATTACTTATGCGATATAAGTAGGCCTAAAGCAGTTGTTTGGAAAGTAACATTGTATACGTTTTAATGAGACCATATAGAAGACTGCTATCCAACTTCAATTTCTGGGGAAAACGTATATTACGCGCAAAACATACTAGTAATAGTACATAATCATAGCATATCGTATAGTACGTAAAACATGCATGATAATTCATACTTACTTGGTATTTTTGCTGTCCGCCTGGTCTTGACAGTTTGAACTATGGAAATAAACCACAAAACATCTTTGACGAATACGGAAACGATATTATGTTAATTTTCCTGTAACGTTTCAAGAAGTATTATACATAGTAAGGAAATCAAATATTCAATACTCTTTTTGCTGAAACAGATGAACTACGTTGTTTATTATAACATAAGTATACGGAATATGTACTCAAAACGATTATGGTTCCATTTTGCCTAGTTAATGATGATGGTGCGATTAGTCTAGCCTGGTGTCCAGTCTACCGTGCTTGAGTGGGCTCCCTTCGGGCCTGTAGACATTCCACGCCGCTCAGTTCAACTAGGCTCCCCGGTAGATTTGCACGACGGCACTTCAACAAGTTCGCTATCAAACTCCTGCAGTGCAAAACTCCTAGGAAAAAACTCCTACCAGGGAGCCTAGCTGAACTGGGCGGTGGAAAACGTCTACAGGCCCGAAGGCGTCACTCCCAAACCACGATAGACTGGACCGTGACCAGGCTACATACAAGTAGTGGTAATCACCTCCGTGACGCCACACGGTGACGACTGGAATAACCAGATCAGACCGGTTTTCAGCAGCATGAGCAGGTTGAAGGGCGGCGGGAGAGACATGTTCCCTCTCTTGACGGAAAGAGTGTCGCTGACAAAGCAGAACGCCCACTCCTGGTCTTTGTTGTCCTAAAGATATGATTTAAGAGCAAAAGAATGTCTGTCGGGAACACTGATTCATATTGGCTGGAAAGCTAGAGACATGAATGGATGTATTTATGTGCTTTGCGACTCTTTTAGCCCATTTGAAATACACACACACACGCACGCAGACACACACACACACACACACACACACACACACACACACACACACACACACACACGCGCGCGCGCGCGCGCGCGGCCACTCTCTCATTGGCCGAATCGCTAATTGCCGTTCTCTCATTGGTTGAGCTCCTGATTGTGATGTACATTTGGGATCGGGTCACTGACCTCTTTCACGTAGTAATAAAACCTGTCGCTGTACCTCAGTCACTTGGTAGGACGTGCTCATGATGGCTATCAGCAGGTTGAGAAGTACAAGTACGGCCACCACTTGATACAGCGCGAACATGGCCGTCCCCACCACTTCGGTAAAGACCGGCTGCTCGTGGATCTGGAGCGCCTCCACAGGGCTTTTCGTGGGCTTCAGCTCCAGCATGGAGAGGTCGGCCATGCCGAACTCCGCCCAGAACAGAGACAGGATCGTATTTGAGAGGCTGTGTGATGAAAAAAAAAAACAATGACCGTCAGAAACAACATAGCGTTCGGCTCGAAACCAAGAGGTCTCGAGTTCGAATCCTGCCGTATGCCACCGATCTTGTGTCCTTGGGAAATTTAGAAAGGCACTTCACAGAAATTTCATCACAATACAGTACATAATTGCACAAAACATTTAACATTACGGCACAGTATAAAATTAATATGCTAGCGCCAATATTTTTTTTATGATTTTGTGTTATAAACTACCATTTTTGCCGTGCCTTACTTAACAAAAACTGAAAGTTAAATCTTCTTTTTTTTAAAACGGAAATAAACTCCATATTGAGAAAGACTAGAATTGAAAAATGTATATGAAAAAAAACCTACACAATAGATGGACAACACTCACGTGCCATAACCGTGGGCTTTAGAGCACCCGACGTTCATCAAGTTGCTCTGTTGATACTTCTCGCAGAGGTAGTTGTGCACAGACCCGTAAAACCAGTAGAGATGGTTGAAACCGCAAGCAAACGCGATATCCACGAGGCCGAGGAAAATGACGAACTTGATGATGTCCATCACCATCCGACCGAACGAGATCTGGAGAGACCCCAGATACCGGGACATGCGCAGAAAGTACATGGCCCGTAGAAACACAACCATGGTAAAGATGGCGAACAAGGCATCGGCCACCATGACCGGCTGGAAGCTGTTCCATCTAGCCCTCGCTTCCCAATCCAGGGAAATATCGTGGTCGTAGTAGGTTTCCCACTAGATCGAACAAGAAAAAAAACCTTCCGATTGGTTAGGATAAAAACCGTTATTTTAAAACATATGCATTTCTGAGTCGGAAATATAAAATTGATCTCAACCCGGACAGCAAGATGCCTGTTTATACTTAGGACACAGGCCGATCAGTGTTCAGGAGCAGAAAGTATTATATAGGCAAAGACAACAAAACACAAAAGACACCAGACGCAAAAAAGTAATAAAAAACTAAAACATTATAAGCACTAACGTTATTTGCAAATATTGTTATTTATTCTATGGGCCCTTAGTGGCCTTTGTATGCACTGAGACGATATATTCATAGTGAATGGCGATAATATATTTATAATAAAAAACTCCTTACCTGTACAACGGCCCAAAATCGTAAGGTGATATACGTAGCGTATAGTGAAACTGCCATGAAGTCCAACAGATTCCAGAAGGTTTTGAAGTACTGACTGAGTCCTCCTTGGTACCAAACTGCGTTGATTTGCTCAACGAAGAATCCTAGAGTAACGGTAAGTATAATATCACTTCTTACATTCAAACATTCTAACAAAACAAAACAAAACAAAACAAAACAAAACAAAACAAAACAAAACAAAACAAAACAAAACAAAACAAAACAAAACAAAACAAAACAAAACAAAACAAAACAAAACAAACACTATTCTAGATGAAGAAATCTGATATTTACTGCCATTTCTTACCATATTTTTCTTGCAGCGTTTGAAATAGCAAAACAACAACAACAAAACAATCTACGCGAGGAGTTGAGTTAAATTTGAGTCAACATTTGAACACCGGTCAACCAACGGCCAACAATGGCCGAACCTCCCGTTCACACCTGAATGATTTAAACATTTTGAAACATTCGGTCGGCACAGCCGAACACCAACCGACCTTGCTCCCGACCATGATTTGGGTAGCGTTTGGACATATTCGGCTTGTGTTTTCAGTTAACAAGGACCGAAGGCAGAAAGGCTCCCTACCAGACATCCAGATGAAGATGAAAGACTGTGTCCAGTTCAGTCTTAACCCAGAGGTCGGGATATTCTGCACCATGTTGTCCAACTCCTCGCTGCTCACCCGGTACATCTGTGCTTCCACTATCAGGATGAAGAGCAGGTCCATGACGGAAAAGAACCAGCACGTTCCACGGATCATCGGAATCTTCATCACCCTCCCGGCCTGGAAGGACAAACCCAATTTCAATGCTAGACTACCAGACTTCAGAAGCGACTGGAAAGAGTAGAGATTGGCCAAATGAACCAGATGAAATGGCCAGATTGGTAGAGCTAGGAGTACTGTACGTGTACTGCTGACAGAAACTGACCGACACAGAGAGAGAGATAGAGTGAAAAGCAGAGAGAGAAAGAGAAAGATAGAGAGTAGAAAGAGAAAAAGAGAGGAGAAAAAGAAAGAAAGAAAGAAAGAAAGAAAGAAAGAAAGAAAGAAAGAAAGAAAGAAAGAAAGAAAGAAAGAAAGAAAGAGAGAGTTCTCCTTTAGCAGACCAACTCCCCTGACATGTTACATGTGTACCTGTCTAGTTGGCAAATTTTTACTCTTTCCAGCTGCTTGTGAAGCCTGGTAGAGGCTATTTCAAAGGTCATTGTCAATGCTGTTGTATCATGCTATTTTCTGGTCATAATGATAGATAGAAGCAATCGACAACCGTATGAAAGTACATGCCACCTCACATACCTTTGTACTTGGTGACAATATGTGCAGGACAGCCAGAACTGGATGCAAAATGGTGATTATTAGCATGAACAATGCCCACTGACACAACGTCCAATGATGCATTCTCTTGAAGTCGAAAATATCGTGTAGGCCTCCTGCGTTCAGTTTGACTGCATACTCGAAGCTCAGGGTGTGAGAGACAAACTGGACAAAAATTGAAAAAAGGGTGATAACGTTACCCTTTCTAACTACCGACCTGACAAATTTCAGAAAAATCATCAAAGGGATTTCAGTAAGTCACACTGTAAACATGTACAGGACTAACTGACTACAATAAAGGGGAGGTTAATGCCCCACCCCGAGGTGTGTATGATGAGATAATTCCTAGTCAGGTACAATAACCACCGAATCATGAAACCGCTGAGTGAGCGTAGCGAACGAGGTGGTTATCGCACCTGACCGATGGGAAATGGAGGCTTCTCATTGGTCGACGTCGTGCCCGGCTATATGATAATCACAGATAACCACCTACCTTCTTCTGCTTCATTTCCACAGCCGTCTCTAACGTTCCTCGCAAATCTTTATCAGTGGCCTCTCCGTGGTTAAACTCGAAAACGGTGTCGAGCTCATCCGAGTCCCGCACCTCATCCAACAGTTCACAGGCGAACGTCTCGCACTGGTCCGCCAACTCCTCCAGTTGAATGCGGTAGTTTTCCCGCTTCCAGCAGGCATCGCGCAAAGCTCGGGCCCTCTGAAAACATGTCCGGAACGGGTCGGGGCTGGTGAGTAAGATCAGGGAAGGGCTACTGACGGCCTGGTAAGCTGTGAACCAGGCACGGGTGGTTTCAACTGTCGTCCATTCGTTATAAATGTCTGGAGAAGGGACAGGAAAGCCACGGTCCAACAGGAGTTTGAGGATGTCGTAGTTGTTCCGAGTGGCGGCCATCTTCACAGGTGTCATGTCAGACTGGAAGGCACCGGTCTCCATCTAACAAGGACGTTCATATGCAACACTTCAATAGAATGATGGCAGTGAATGAATGACGTTTATGAATTTTTGAAAGGTCTTGTATTAACAATTACAACATACTATGATAAACACACACGAACACACACACACGCACACACCACACAGATGCCAAACAGACGCATACAGACACCACATACATGTACATCATGTACAAAATGATACCACACATACACACACAGAGACACAGACAGGTACGCATACACAAAACACACATATGCACGTACACACACACACACGCACGCACGCACGTACATGGACAGACACACAGACAAACAAGACAGAAAACAAACAAACAAACAAACAAACAGACACTTGTTACCTCCAGACTTCCACACAATTCTTCGACTCCCGACGTTTCCCTGTCCAGCAGAAGTTCTACAGCTTCTATGTTCTCCCTGTCGACCGCGTACAGCAGAGCCCGACCGGCGGGTACCCCGCGGTCCAGCAGCAGCTCAGCCGCCTCTAGCGACCCGCTGTCCACGCCAACCTCCACCGCCGTCCGCCTGAACTCATCACGTAGGCAGGTTACGTCGATAGAGACGCCAGGATTGAAGTCAATATCAGAAATTAGCGTCGCCAGTTCTTCAACAGCGTTATTACGAACTGCTGACCAAAACGCTCGCTCCATCTTTCGAGCCATTTGATGAATGGAAGGAATCCTAAAGAATAGGACAGAAAACAATGTCCACATTTATGACAAACACTTCAACAAAGGGCTCCTTGGTGTAACATGTGCACCTGTTCTCTCAATCAAGTTGCGCCCAGTTAATGTTTGCCCAGTCGATATAAAGGAAGTATATAATAGAAAAGCTTCATTGAAAATACACACAGATCAACGTGCTCTCATATCTCTCAGTCTACCGACCATTAATCATTAAAATGTTTGACATACAGCTATAATGTTATGATATATATCGTTAAGTAGAGGTGTTTTACCAATTCGATGTGGTCCGGTTCCTGTTGTCCCCGCAAAATGTGGCATTAGACCGATCCTGAAGCCCCGCCCACCTCCGTCAAAACGCAGAAATGCAAATATTTGACGGACATGCGGCCACTCTCTCATTGGTCAAGCCGATAATTGCCATTTTCTCATTGGTTGAACTGCTAATTGTGATGGATACTCGGGATCGGTCTTGGCCAGGTTTGCACAACCGTGATTCACACAGTGACGTCAGCCATTAACAGGTCTCAATTTGGCCAAATTGACCCCGAGTAAACTCTTAAGGGTGTACAGAAAGTGCGAAATAAAGCGAAACGGAACGAAAAAGGACGGGATCCTTGGGGCAAATAGACGACCCAAATCAGTCAAAAGATAAGACAATGATCAGTTTTTGATTTAGCTTCATTTAGAAATTTAGGATGAAATCAGTCTAGAAAATTTGGACCAAGGAAGTAGTTTTTATGTTCATCCTTTCACATACTACCAAGTACATGTACAATATGGACATGATACATTATCATCATTAATTCATCAGGCATTAAGGTAATAAGATCACCCTGCTGCATGATTCTACAATCCATCAATGGATAAAGTGGTTGAGGTTGAAACAAGTGAAGTGAGGCAAGTGAATCGTAATGAATCATACCAATTCAATATACTGTGGCCATTTTGTACCAAGTCGGCCAGAAATCAAATATGACTACATTAACTACCATTTCTAAGCATATTTTCATACCATACATGCCATAAATGTTTGAAGTAGCCCAAAACCAAGCCACACCAGACTTTGAAAATCCAGTTTTACCTCCCTGAAATTGCATTGGGTCATTCATTGGGTGAATGAATCACAACAATCATCATTAGGCCACACCAATTTAATTTGTTGGTTCTCGGATTCGCCTCTTCATTTTTTCCTGATTTGCAAAAAAAAAAATTTCCGAATCAACTGCAAAATGCTCATATTTTGCCCTGAACAGTTGAAAACAGTCCTTTTCTTCCTAGTCGTTACAGTTATTCCATCTTTCAATGCAGTGGTATCATTAGAAGTTCAAAATTCATTGTTTAAATTTTGAACCAGCCTTTTGTGTTGACTTCATACCTCCTATCGTAGCATTTGGGGCTATAATAGGATGCCTAGATCTGTTTTTATTTTTTCGCCCTGTCGCTTCATATTTTTCCTGAAAAAATCCGAGAACCAACAAATTAAATTGGTGTGGCCTTACTGACTATTCCAATGCCATTAATATTTCTTAATACTAAAAAAATGAACTTACTTGACCTAGAAAAAAACAACAGTGGATGAGAAACTAAATTTGCGTGGCCTAGTGAAAAATATGTTTGCCCACCATCTGTTCAACTTGAAATTTCCTCATTAAAACGTTGCAAACATTGCTGATGTGTATATGCCATAATCATTAGCCTCAGCACTTGGAACTGTGTCCATATTTACACTGCAAGGAAGACAAACAACACACTTGAACAACGGGCTAACTGTAAGGCAACTGTTTAATGAGACTGTTCCATTGGCAAGAATCAGGTTCATCTCATTGGTCTGCACAAATCGGTCAGCAGCCAATCACGGCCCTCCTAAGATGTTAAATCCCAGAATCTATCAAAATGCCTTGTTTATATTCTTAGAAATTCTATACATAAAAATTGTGGTCAAGATTAGGGCACGTTACAAAAAGAGATCAACATATACATGGTAGGTGTTATTTATTTACAAGTATAGAAGAATAAAAGGTGGCAACTGGCAAACATAGAGATGTAAAATCGTTTAAAACCGTAAAAAAAATGCATGAACAAGACTCAACATTAGATAACCACAAGCAGATCTCACAAACTTTTAGTACTTGCCTTTTTAACCGACACTCAATCCCGGAATGCCACCTAGAGACTTCTGCGTGTATTACAGCTATTGAAGAACCTAAGCTATCAGCAGGGCATTGAAAATAACACAATTAGTGCTTCAGAAAATGGCCAATGCTAGCTTTCACCTCTTTGAAAGATAGATGAAGTGCATACCAAAGTATGCTGCCATTGAAATGCTTACAGGGGAAACATTTTATCAAGGGAGGTCAGTCACAGGACAAAACCCCTTGCTCTAGTAAGAATGATTAGCATGTTCTTCTGGGATATACATAGCTGCCAAAAAGACATCACTAACAAAAGATTAGGTTTCACTTGCATTACAGGCTCTACTATGGGGAAACAAAATGCTTTGTTACCTTTTTTGTTTCAGGACAATGATTTTCACTCAAAATGATGTTTAGCACACAATTTCTGAACTTGCAAATGATTGAATTAATCAGCATTTTGCAATTTTTGTATGCATTGATATGAAAGAGTCAATGAAAATTCATCCATTCTTCACTAGCCATACACCACTTCAATGAGCTATTGCTGTGGGATACATTTTGCCAGCATTGTATTATGAAGATATTTTACTTCATGAGCTGTTAGGTTATGAGTTATGTTACAAAACACTGAAAGTCTTTTCACTCAACAATGAGTTTTAAAGTTGTATTGAGCTTGAGACATATACAAGACCTGAGATATACATACACATGAAATGCTAGTACTCCTTGTCAAATCTACTACATGGTAGAAAATAAACATTTCTTCTACAAAACTAGCAGATCCTCTGTTATCAAGTAGTGTTGCCCTAATCATTATTTTACATATGGTATTTGCACCAGACACTTTTTTTCTTTATGTACAAGCCAAAAATCTGTTAGGGTCAAGTTTGTATCTTAACTCTTGTTCGTTAGTAAACAAGCAACCACAGACTTCTTAAAATATTCTTAAAAATAAAAAATACAAAAGAAAACACATCAGAAAGTTTTTTTCTCTTCAAATAGCTAGAAAATTTAAATCCTTTCGATATCGGTGACAGCATAGCCAGTGAAAGTTGTCAAAGTTGTTCAGTAATTAGCTCAGTAATTTCCCCCAATCAAATCAATGATCAAATCTTGTTTAACGAAGAAAAATATCTATGTGCAGGATATGATCTTACTACAGCTATTACCATGAAAATACAATAGTTGTCATGTGGTCCTATGGTACCCAATCACTAAAAAGGTGCCACATCTATGTATGGCTACTAAGTACATCTATACAATGCCTAATTAGATATGTGGCATACATTATGGGGGTAATCTTTCAGTCTGAAATCTTGGATACTAATTGACGTAGGATGTAATGTAAGTATAAAATTACAACTATTGTTGAGGCTAACACTTGATGTGGTGTCTGTAGTGCTTCCATGTGGTGAGAAGTGGTAAAATATATAAGAAATTCTAAATACAGTTTCGTAATAATAAAAAATGTGAGAAAATGATCATAGTTGAATTGTATGTGTAAGTACACTGAAGTGGAATTGTATTTTCTGTCCACAGCTGATGCTCCACACTTCTGTAAACAAACAAACTAACTTCTGCTTTTTTCCACACAACGATCATCTTGACAGACTTGACAACAGATAACTTAGAAGCAAACTCAACGTACATTCTCCAGGCCTCCATTTCTTAACCAAAACTAAACAGCTTCACAATGGGATGAGAAGCCTATATGTGTATATTATATACAGAATTCAGTAGGTCCATTTTGGCAGCCAGAGCCTATTGTTATTATTTCAGTCCATACCATGGATGAAATATATTGTTTCTGGTGTTTTCAGTACCTCGGGTGTGGTCTACCCATGGAATCGACATAGTTCTGTGGGGGTTGCCTCACAGGAGGCTCCACATAGTCCCTCCGTCCTGAAGAATCCACCATGTACGGCTGCCCGTACCCTTGCGTGTACCGCATGTCGGCGTAGTTCATCGCCCGCGGGTCGGGCTGAGAAGCCGGCGGCCGGGTGTACTCCGGGGGGCCGGGTCGTGACGCGGGTTCCATGTACGACGTGCTGGGGTGCGTGCGACCCATCCTGTCGTAGTTGGCGCCCGGCCTGGGGTCCATGTAGTTGGAGCTGGGCTGGCGACCCATGGTGCTGGAAGCGGGTCGGTTGTAGGGGTTGGGTTGGTAAGGTGGGTTGTGACCGTCCCAGCTGTACGTGGACCCGTGGGGGCTGTTGGCTGACTGTTTCGGCAGCGGGCCGTTAGCCGTGATCCCGGAGGACATCCTGATGGGGGGTGTGGGGGGCTGCTGACCTACAGGAGAAGGGACTGGTGGGACATCTGGAATGGCAAATTTAAAGTGCATAAGTTGCCATTCACAAAGCTTTTATTCAAGAGCTTTCAGGACTAACTAATTTAACAACCACCAGGTGGCCCAAAAGCTATTCATTTTCAGCTCTCACCAAGACCTACCCACCTACCAAATATGAAGAGAATTAATCTAAGCCTTCTTGAGTTATTGTGTTTACAGACAGACAAATAGACAAACACACAGGCAGACAGACACACACACGAACACTACTGAAAACATAACCTAAGGTACATGTAAAATAAGACCAAAGATCAGACCAAAGCACTGAAAGCAACAAAATTGGAAATCTTCAGTAGGCTTTTTCACTGCAGTGAACTCATTCACACCATGCACTTGCAGAAGAACAAAGGGCTGCCACTGTTACAATTCTTACCTAAATTTGGCACTTTTCCGCCCCTTTTCACAAATAGCCTGACAACGCTCCCTCCACTCTTGATCATCTCGATAGCATCTGCGTGCAGTATGCCGTTGGTGTTGCGCCCGTTGATTTCCATAATCTGGTCTCCGACCTGAAGAAAAGTGTCTCAGATTATCCAGGGTAAAGAAAATTGATAACCCATCTATCAGGTTTCAATGTTACATAACAGTGTCACTTAGAAGTCTGTCATAAAGAACTGGGAAAAAAATTGAACATGTCATGTTCAATTTTTTCCCCAGTTCTTTACATGTGTTTAGTGTTGACTAATTCTTTCAGTGATGCTGAAGAAGAGTGATAGATCCAGAAGTAATCTCCGTAATTTATCCTGTAGTAGAGTTTGAATTTTCTTTGAAAACTATCATTACCATGGACGTCTAACCTTCATCAAAGTATCGGGTCTCAATGTTTTATCAACCATACACAGTTATGCAATGTCATGTATACCAGGTGACCAGGAACATAGTATAGTAGATAACTGGGTACATCACCTAGAAAATTTACTGGTAACTAGAAAGGTAACATTTGCACATGGTCTGCTCTGTTAATACTTACTCAAATACATTCATATATATGGTCAGACAGGAGTATAAATCCCTCCTACTATAAAATTGCAACATTGTGTAAAAATTGCAACATTGTGTAACCCAACACCAGTTACCATGGTAAGAGACGTCAACAAATCAGGTCATTCCTTCTGTCAACATAACTACCACTTGCACTACCACTCTTAGAAGATAGGGGGAGCCAATGTTGCATACAGGACAGTCCAGCTTACCCTCAGCCTTCCCTCCCTAGCAGCCGGTCCGTCATCCGCAATCCTCAGAACAAACAGCGGCATGGTGAACTCTTTCCCGCCGCGTATACTGAACCCGAAACCTCGCACCCCACGCTGTACCGATACCATGTGATACTCCTCCTTCCCAGTGGATTCCTATGGGAAGAAATATAGATGTGTCAATATCCAGCCTATAAAGGCTGGTTTGATCAGTGCAGCAAAGATCGTGTCACTACCGAGTAAAAATAGGTTTTGTTACCACTGTGAATCAAACACATGACATTGTGTACTCTTATAAAGCCAAAAGCTGTTCTATAGCACTCAAATTTTGCCGCAAATTTTGGATCCCGTAGCCATGAAAACTAACCAAATATGCAAGGTCTGATTTTGCCGCAGGGTTTTGACTGATTGGAAGTGATAAAATTGACAAGGAAAATTGTTAGTAAAGATTAACTCTGATCCAAACCTAAAAGGATCTCACAGTTCCCTTTTGTGTTGGACCAAAGTTTCAATCATTATGGATTTTACAAACACAGATAATCTTTCATTTGAAGAAAACGTCATATATTTTCTTACCTGTGATCTTCTGCCCGGAGAGGAGGGTGGCCCCACTCTCCTGGGGGAGGGGGGGTGCTGCATCTGAGACGTGGGGGGGTAGTGTGTCTGCACTGACAACGGCTGGTGGGGAGGGAACGATGGCTGGGCGGGGGAGTGTCTCTGGGGTGGCGGGAGTCCTGGGGAGTGCTGCTGGGGTGGGGGGACCCCGGGGGAGTGCTGAGGGGGGTAGGGAGAGTGCTGGGACCCCGGCGGCAGGGTGGGGGTGGACTGCTGCCGCTGGATTAGGGCTTCCCGTTTCTGCATCTCCTTACGGTGCCACTCCAGGATTTCTTCTCTCGTTCTGAAGTGAAAAACAAAAAAGCAGAGCTTGCTTCAGAGCTTTGCCAAAAAAACAGCACAACCAGAACAAGCTGCTAGGGGGCTATCTACTGTCCAAAATTTGTGACCCAACAATGTCAATTACATAAGATTTTAAAATAGGAAGTTCTGCTGCAGTACCATAACGAGTAGCCAGGAGGCCAAAAATCTAATCATGATCATGAAGACCTATCCACCTACATGTACTAATAGTACCATACATCAAGAAAATCCTTTTAAGCCTTGATACACAGACTCACACACAAACACTACCGATAACATAACCTTCCTTGCACACTCGGATAAGAATTGGTACATGATAAAATAGTAACTTACCTCTCCTTCTGCCCTTCTCCGAAGCTCTCGTTAGTCTGGTCTGCTATGGCAGGTGTGGCCACAGCATTCATCATGTTGCCATTCTGTAACAACAGGAAACACTTGTCACATACACAATACAGATGTTAAAATACAGACTGTTGAAAAATCAGCTTTGTTGGACCTCAGATTTAAGAAAAAAAAGTAATGAAACAGGGCAAGAATGAAACAGGTCTACATGGTAGCATCCTGTAATAGCCCCAAAAGTGAAGATAGGAGCCATGGAGTCAATGTACCATACTGATTTGTACAACGAATATTGAAACTTTTTAAGGACTTTCTTGAACTGTTTGGAGCAAAATATGACCTGATTCAGAACGAGAATATTTTTCTTGTGAATAAAAAAAAGAATAAGAAAAACTCAGAGTAAACTCATACAGTTAGCCATTTTGTTTTGTTCTTGATCATAAATCTTAACATGACCAAAATGAAATTGTGACCATCTTTACCATCAATCTGGACTGACTTCCTGTCTAAACTGTGTGAAAGTATTTTTATTTTGTCATGGGGCATATATCTTCTGAAGAGAGAAATAAATCATGTCTTACCGTAGGAGCTGCACCTGGGGTGCCGGGATCTGTGTGGACAAATGAAGAATACACGATGATATACTACAGTACAAGGAGGTCAAGTTTAATAGCATCAACTGTCACTAGTACAATGTGTATCTCTTAAATCTAAATCTTAACGAATGTGTTGGCGCAGGATATGATGAGACACAGGTTAGTTTAATAATCAGTTCTCCTGGCAAATGGCAAATAGAGAAGTGGGAGTTACCACCTGTAGTGTTCTTTCAAACAAGGAGTGCTGACTAATATTTGGCATGCTACAGTGTCTATTACTTGGCATGTGCATGATGCAAAACCGGATGTTTTCGTTGGATTTCTGGTCAACGTTGCATCAGAATTTTGCCTGTTGCAGACAATATCTTTTCCAGCACAACATTTGCAAACTATGATGTTAAATATGCAAATATGACCTCAAACGAGGCGTTCTGTCAAAGAGCTATACAGAATATAATACAGGTTTTGCACAGGTGTAGCATGCACCTGTGCAGAAAATGTCCCACAGTGCCAGGAAAAAATGTTGTGTTTCTTGTTTTAGTCTACAAATAATTCTTTTCTTTGACCCTGGCAATCTCTAGTGATCCAATATGGCCACAGCAAGTAAATTTTATGGATGACATCTGGCGGGCCAAAAAAAAACAAGGTTCCAACATCTTAAAATTTTGACATCATAAACCTTAGCAAGGGGAGCGATCTTGAGAATTGAAAAATTTATGTCCCCTGTGGGGATCCACACACAAAAAAGGCTAGGGTTGGCAGTTTTTTTTTGGGCTGGTCGAGAAACAGGAAACACAACATATTTTTCTAGGCAGGGCTGCCCTCTCACCATCAGGGGGAGCGATCTTGAGCGTGACCCTCAGCCCAGACTCCTTAATGATGTTGACGATCTCGCTGTGTGACAGGTTGAGTATGCTGATCCCGTTAACCGCCACCAGGTGGTCTCCCACGGCGAGCTGGCCGCAGCGCTCCGCCGGACTGCTGGGGATGATCCGGCCTGAGGCGGAGGAAACACGATCGCAATCAGCCATGACTTCACTTGGCATTAACCACCACACATTTTTCACCACCTAACCGATTGGTGAAACTGGCACCACATGTTCCTTGCACTGCCACTGTCAGAAGGTAGGGGGAGCCAATAAATGTACAGTGCCATCACCAATCCAGAATAATCTTTTCTGGGATACGATATCACTTTGTCTACTCTTCCCTGTACTAACCTAGTAAGAAATGTAGGCTCAGATTATTCATTGTGTCATTCTTGGCAACCACAGTTCAGATCTCAATTAACTTCCAATATACTCGCATGCAAATCATGATCAAAAGTTGTGCAAAATGCGATTAAAATTAAAAGCTGTGCATTTCTCAATTAAAATGCATGCAAAAGCTATCATGTCTTGTGTTCATTTCTCGTCTAAAAGGAGAGTAACTGTGTGTTTGCACAATATAGACAGCCACACAGGACTGCTGCTGTATTAATGCATGCAATTTGCACAGATTTTTGAATGCATGTTACGCAGCTTTTACAAGGTTTTTGATCACATTTTTTAAACACGATTTACACAACTTTTGCACAAGAAATAAACAAGTTAAAACCACAAGCAAAATGCGTGGGAAGGGAAGTTTACCAAAATCTGTACTGTAAGGCACCCACCCAATCCTCCCTAACTAGAAGAACTGCTTTGATTGAAAGATACTCACTGATCACAAGTTGGCTGATAACCAGTACATCAAAGCTTAGATCTTTCACTAGAAAGGCTTTGAGCAATGCTCCACAATCCCTGCAGCCCCCTGCTGCTTTACTTTCCTCCCACACCTAACCCAATTTTCCCTGGTATAACCTTCACCCTAACCCTGACCCTTTCCTGGGAAGGTATGCAGGGCCCAAGGTTCTTATATGTTGCTTACATTTGACTTTGTGTAACAATACAATAAGCCAATCATGTTTAGAGAACCCTCCAGGCAGTTAGTTAGACTACATGTAGGTTGGTAGTACTGTTACTCTATCGGATCAGTGTTCTAGTCAGCTGTGTTTGAAATTTCTTTCTGTCATTATGTTTGCCGAAGGATTTTTGCTCTGTATCTTCTTCTTCTTCAAACAAATAAGGTCAATGACCTGAACCAGACGTCTATTACTATGGTAACTAGTGTTGGGTTACATCATGTTGCAATTTTATAGCAGGAGGGATTAAGACTCCTGTCATATGAATGTGTTTGAGTAAGAATGAACAGAGCCGACCATATGCGAATGTAAACATTACGCATTTGCTTTGTAAATGTTACCTTTCTAGTGTCTATTTTGTTTTATGTAACATCATTTTGAGCACTGAAGGTGAGACAATCCTAGGGGAGTTTTAAACAATTTTGAAATCTTGACCCCCTGAAACCTTTTTTCCTGCATTTTGAGGGGCAAATTTTGCTGGTAGACTAAGCTTAGTTTAATGACATCTCTTTCTATATCTTTTGTCTGTCGAAGATAGGGCAAAACTTTTGCCTGTGTTAAGAGGCAAAATTCCATCAAATGACACTGACTAGGACACTGCACCAGCCGTTTTTTATCATCACAAATTCTGAATCTTTAAGTCTGACTAGTCATTGAACTACCTAATTCAAGACAAAGGAAGTAAAAAGGCCTGGATTTAAGTCTTAGACCTGATTTAAGTCTTGACAGAAAGCTTCTCAGACAATGGAACAATGAAGAAAAAGACCTGAAATTTCTTACCGATTTTAGCTCCACTTTTTGAAGCCGATGAAGTGATGACGAAGCCGAAGCCTTCTGTCTCGTTCCTAAGAACGGTGACGTCGTACGGGTAGGTGACGACAGGTGAAATTGCAGGCGGCGGCGGCCTGAAGTCGTTCACCATGGCTGGTCTGGGCGGGGGCTGACTAACCATGTCTGTAGCAGGGACAATTAAGAATGTTACTAGCTGTGTGCACAGTTGGCAAGTCACAAAATGTTAATGAAGGACCGATTTTCTGCACCTGTGACACAAGGAATATTTCAGTTATGAAATTGAATACTTGTTTGCCACACTGATTCTCCTGTTTCAGAAAAGGAAGTATCTTAGTTGCTCACTCACTCACTCAGTCCATCATTTGCTAGCTGGCTGCATTCCTCTAACCAGGAATCAACACATAAATGGACAGACTCCCTGTACAGCAAACACAACTTGTATTGACTCTCTCCACATGTATTACAGAGTGACCAGTGCGGATGCGCACAGTAAGTATGGCGGGAAACCATAGATCTAACACAGTTATGTTGATTTTAAGTTGTTTTTCTGCAATATTCAAGAACTTTGAGGACCAGGACACAGGCAAGCTTTTGTTAAATTTGATTCAATGACATATGGCATAATTTAGGTCTTTTTACTCTTCGTAATCTGTAGGCAGCTGCCCAAAATCATTGTAATTCGTAATCAGTACATTAGCCGTAACGTGTTAATGTTTGTAATCAGCTCTGAGAAATTTAACGTGATTCGTAATTGGCAGCAAAAAATTTTGCGTAATTCGTAATCACTACCCCCCATGCAGGCTCTTATGGGTGCCTCTTGTGTAAGATAACTACCTTGCAGCCTGCGTCGAACTCCGAGCGACACCTTGCCGGCCAGCGCGGCCTGACCCATGAGCGACACGACCTTGTGGTGCGAGGCGTTCTGCACGGCCACCCCGTCCACGTACAGCAGCTCGTCACCCGACAACAGCCGCCCGTCCAGGTCAGCCGCTCCACCTGGCACAATAGCACCTATCGACACCTGCAGAAGAGACGGACAGGGTTTACACTTTTTTCTATTCCAACACTTATTACAAGACATGGTGACGGCATACTCAAGTTTTTTCAACTTATTTTTATGCCCCCACCAACACAGACAAAATCATGAACAGACAATAGACATAGTATTTAGTAATTTGTGTAAAGTGCCAAGGGTACACTGACAGATCGGTGGCAGGGCAGGATTTGAACTCGAGGCCTCTTGGTTCCTAGCTGAACACTCTGCCCTTAAGCCACCCGACCCCACTTAAGCCAAAGAAAACTTATGTTGTGTTTCTTGTTTCAGTCCTGAAAATACTAGGGTCAGTAGGTAGGGGTTTTCTTTTCTTTAAAGATCTTTGAAATTCAGTTGTTGGATTGAGAAATTTATAGCCTTACCAGCAGTTGATAAAAAAAACCTAGGATCAACAAGTTTTTACAACTAATAATATTAGGGTCAGAAACACAGAAGTTTTTTTCTGGGGCCTAACATGATTAGCTGTATGAACCTGGTGCAAGTGCTCTCTATGGAGAAGACCCATCCATTAAAAGAGGTGACGTGAAGAATGCAGTTAGAGACACCTTAGACACAATAACCTACTTGAAAGCCCTTCTTGTTGAATTATTGATGGATGTAAACCCGCAAGGGAAAGACTACCTGGTACATAAAGTAACAAGGTTAAATTCACTCTGGCAATGACCTACATATCAATTTCCACATCAAAAAAGACAGTTTCAAGTGCCATATCTGTAACCTATACACAAAGAGACACAGTACAGTACAATAATTATTATTGTTGGTCATAAGAATAATGAATTATTGATGAATATGAATTTGGATAATAAGAAACAGGACATGCTACTGGGGTAGTGCTGTGTACCTAAACCCACGTTTAGGTTCAGGTTTGGATTCAAGTCCAGAGGTTTAGGTTCAGTTCTAAAATTGCATGTTGTCAACCTTGCAATGTTGTTTGGGCAAAACTTTGGCCACTTAACATGGAGGCCGACACTTGACAATGCCCGATGGCAATGTTTTTTTCATTTTGCAGCACGGACTTTGCAATCTATGGGAGGTTTTAGGTGGTTTGGAAAGAAAAGGGGTACATGTATGTGACATGGTTTTTTGTGTATCATGTCTGGAACCGGTCCAGCAAACCGGTACACAGCACTACACTGGTGAGTACCGGTACGTACCGGTTTGCCCTCCTCCTGTCCACCCAGGATGCGGAATCCGAAGCCGCTCTCCTGTCTCCTCAGGAAGATGGTCATCTCCTGCCAGGCCTCGTCAGCGCTCGGCGGAGGCACGTCCATCCGTACGGGAGGCGCGGGAACCTCAGAGTCCATCCTCACTGGGGGCGGGGGTGCCTCGTAGTTAGGCCCTGGGGAAACCAAGATGTCAGAAGGTTACAAAACGGCAAAGCACAACATCAGACTTACGCCAAGGAAAAAAATGTTGTGTTTCCTGTTTCAATCCTGAAAAAATTAGGGTCTGTAGGTAGGGATTATCCTTTTTTTCTTTCTTTTATTTTATTACACTTTGGCAATCTCTGGTGATCCAACTTACACAATACAGTTTGTCAAAGTAAATCTTGCATGAGGACACTTATACTTTCAATGTCAATGTTCGAAAACTGATTGTACAACATTTCATCACTCAGGTGTTAGATCATGGAGCTAGAAAAGGTCAATCAGCTTGAAAAACTGCAGGGATCCATAAAAAAAGGCTATGGTCGGCAGCTTTTTCTAGGGTTGGTCAGAAAACAGGAAACACAACATGTTTCCCCAGGCCTTACTAGTATCTAAAATATCAGTGCTGCTGAAGTGTTCATTTTCTGCGTGTAATAATCATTTATATTGTGTTAGTCATCATTCAGCTAAAGAGTCATACATCTATTAATAAGAGGTCTTTTGGATGAATCACTGTCCAATATTACTGCACAAATGAATACATGCTAGTGATACTACATTTGCTCAAGCTTACAAGACCAAAGAATTGGCCGTATTTTTTAGCTGTTCCAAGCTGTTAGGGTCAATGGACCTGGTAAAACTCCAAAAAGACTGTAATACATCACTGTTATCTGGTTTTTAACTCTAACTGCTCCATGCAGGGCCCTGGTGATAGCTGTCAAGTTCATTTTATTTCCAGGGGAATAGTGTGTAAGGGCAGTCTGAGATGCACGTGTCAGACAGTCTATACACACCACTATCTCACTTAATCCCTGTACTATGGTGAGTGAGAGTTTATAATGGATGGCAGTCCTGCGAGGCCAAAAGCTGAGGGAAAACATTGGCTTTACATCACATAGGGGCTTAGACTCTGAGGGAACGTAAGACAACGTGACTGATTTGGGATAAAGTGGTGGGTTTAGGTCTGTCAGAGAATGAAATGCGGAGAAGACTTCAAAAACAGCAGAGATAAGAAACATGATGAGAGTCCACCCACCATGAAAAGCCAATATCAATGGCTACTCTGACAACTAGAGCTGGCCTAACACTTGTTTTGCTGGTAGGGAGATGAATTATGCAATTCAGGCTGGCAAAACAAAAAATACTCTGGACGAGCAAATCTGTCTGATATTTCATGGCATTTCTTAGCATATTTTGTCATCATTTCCTTCTTGAAGAGATTGGACTTGTTTTTTTTTTTGCACCACAAATAAATAGCAAGAAGGCAGAATTTCCACCACCACAACTTACATAACGTCAACCCACAGGATAGAGGCAAATGGCGGGCTGCCATCAAGCCTTTGCTTTAGCATCAGTGTGCAAGCACCTTCGTAAGATGGGTTTTACACATGGCGGAAAAGAAGGGTGCGTAAACAAACTTGAAGTTGAAGCCCATTGGCGAACACAAATCAAAATGAATGACAGGGGCCTAGACTAAAGAGGCACAGAAAAAGGTACAAAAGGGAGGAGTGGTTCGATCTCTGTCATTTTTGAGAAAGATGAACAACAAGGTTGAAACCGGTCATATTCCATCTCATCATTGTCATTTTCCAAACACTACGAATAAAGGGACCTAACCTAGGGTTTGAATTTCTTTCTGCTGCCTAAAAAACTTCCCAATGGACAAGTCCGGAGATTACAGTATGGATGTACTACCATCATCTGGATCAAGTCTGTCTTCATGTTAACAAGGCCTGATGCTGTGCAGGCCTCCAGAAACACAACATACACACTCAGGCAGGAAATCCCAGCTGTAGTTCCTGTGCCAACTAACTTTTCTTGGAAACGTCCAGTCCTGAACCACTTGAAACCACTGCTGACACAAACAAGTTTGCGTTGTTAGCTTGCCAAGTAACACGTAGACTTGCACAAAAACTATTCAACAATCTTTTTTCCTGGAGAATTTTTCATGAGACACAAGTGTTCTAGCCAGCCTGAAATTTTTTCTACCATCTTAACTTTGTTTAACTCAACATCATACATGTACAGTCTACTGTAGATTAAGCTTTTTGGATAAATATGAACATAAACACAAACATACCTGTTCACATGGCAAACCTAGTCAGTATCAAAGCACATACAATCACAGAGAGATGATAGCATGGCTAAACTGACTAAATCCCTCATACCACATAGATATCATACATGTCTAGTACAACGCTGCCAACAACCAACACATTCACCTCGGTGACATTTACACAATGTACGCCTTCTTCTGTTGTCAGAATTACCTGGGTGGCAGGTGTGCTATCCATCTTAAGACCCCACTTAAAGTGTTCCATTTATAGCTGACGATCAACATCACTATCACGTTGAAGGCTACCTTTATACTGTGACAGTAGTTGTCTTTGTCGCTTAAAAGGATTACCTGGGTGCCAGGTGTGCCAACACAAAAACTGACTGCATTGTTCCTTAAACTAAAAGGTAACGTCCAATGCAATTTCAGAGCAGCTAAACAAAAAATATTCTGATATTGACAGACATTTACCGCCATTTCTTAGCACATTTCGTACTTTAAGTGTTTGAAATACATGTCTACCAAAAACAAGCTACTTGAGGAGTCCCATTATTTTTGGGTACCACCAATAAATAGGCAGAACCATCTTAACATCAAAACAAGCAAAAACATTTGCCGTCAATGACGTTGCATTTTTGCGCTTTACGGATCATCAGTATGCTAGAAAATTGACTTTGAAAATGCAGTTTTAATGCCTTGAAATCGCTTTAAGGATAAGCAGAATGTTGTATATCGATGAAACCCAGTATTTACCACATGTGGCATAATAAATTGTCTGACAAACAACAACTGTACCTAACTGCTGCAATGTTATCATTTATCAATTATGCGAAATATTAATATGAAAAGATGAGTTTATACTTACTAACAGAACAATGCCCCTGCCAACCAGGAAAATAAGTTGGGTAAATCATTTCAAAGCACTTGACCTTTGACCCAATTCCCACGTGCCTTAGCCCAGTCAAGTTTGTTATTGTGGGGGAGAAACTATGCAGCTGGTGTTTCTGTGAAGGGGGGAGGGGGGCGTCAAGGTCGGGGCCACTGGTAGGTCAACACAAACACTGAGGTATCCGACCCCTGAGGACGGCGTGTCAGCAGCCAGTAGGTAGAAGGAACAACGTTTAGAGTGTGGTTTTCATTAGCCAAAGTTAGAGGGGGCCAGTTTTATGCCTTGCCACTGAAGCTAGAAGATAACACAATTTGTTCACTACATAAAACTGATGTCTGTGTTGACCCTGGCTACCCTGTAAAACATGAAATATGCACCGAAAGATGGAATGTTACATTTCACTTTTTCCATGAAAACAAGAGCTATCTGCCCCCAAATAATTGTGACAAATACATGTCTAGAACATGAGATAAAAAAAACAACAAAAGGAGTTCTGCTGCAGTACCAAGGAGATCTGTCAGGGGGGCCAAAAATCTACTTATTTCTTTTGAAGACCTAACCACATACCAAGTTTCATGACAATCCACCAAAAGCTGGAGCTTATCATCCCAAACCACATACATGTACGTACAAACGCTACCAAAACAAAACCTTCTTGGCAAGGTAAGAATGCTATATACATTGACAAGAATTCTATTTAAAGAAGGCTCCAAGTTTATTAACCTAGAGCTATGTAGTGGTCAAGGTCAGGGGTAGGTGGACATTTTACAGTACAGTACCCTGATGGGTATCTCTCAGCTTGGAACCAGTGAAGCATCCTAGCTCAAGTTTCACCGAACCAGTCCTAGGAGCAAAGACCACCCAGTCACACACCCACTAACCCAGTCTTACTTCATTTCACCCAACTCTAATGAAATCTAATTACGACTTTGGTCTTTCAGCCTTGCCCTATTAAACCGACTAGTAACAATACCATTATTGTGTTACTTGCTAAGGATCTTCACACAAATAAAGTCAGTGTATCGGCTTTACAAGTTCTTTCAAGTTTAATTGTCTGGATGATTTCTTACTCTCCAATAACTTAATTAACTGTGCCCTGTGGAAAGACCCTTTGCTTTGGAATATTGCACATCTGTTTATTCTCAGGGAGGTAACTGTAACACTTTAATACACCACAAAACTCACGTTAGGCAAAACTGTAGCAGGCTATTTACCACTAGAGAGGTCTATAACCGCACAATTTCACCAATTTGGTCTAGTCAACATCTACCTTTCTGTCATATTTCCACTTCACAATTTCTTAATAAGCTATTCTCTGCCATTACACAAGAGACCATCATGCTGGAAATATAATTGTTGAGATGCCAGGCAAATAAAGTACTTTGTTATGGTACATGCATAGCAGGATAGGACTCCAGTTTACAAAAATGTATGTTTGAACTTTTATGGCAAAGGAAATACTTACCTGAAATTCTACACCCATCTTGACCATGGTGTTGTGTATATTTCCTTGCTGCTCAAAGAGCACTAATTACAGAAAGGTTCCAACTGAAGTTCTTGGTAGCTACGCAAGCCATTTAACCATATTGACGATACACGTATGTACATAACGCTTCAAAGAGTGTAAATGTGAGGAAATAAAACTAAACAGTACTTACTGGAAGGACTCCTGTTTGGTGGGTTATACTGGTATCCGTTGTACATGGTGGGCTCAGCGGGCCTGGGTGGGGCACGTGGCAAGGTGCCATATGACGACACAGGGTGGGCGTCTAGTAATGGTGAAACAAAACATGAAATCAACACTACGCCTACACACTACGTAAATCAATCACGCTAAAACAAATCAGACTGTAATGAGAGGACCTTGTGGGGTATATAAGGATGTTGCTGAATGGCTAAACTTCAAGACACTTTGGAGAAGGCCCGCATGCCCTTTTCTGTAGAGCATAATCGGCCATTTTAATTCTACGTAGAGTGTAGACAGACCGCCCTAATTCAACGTAGAGTGTAACTGGAGTATTTTCCATAGAGCGTAATTTGCTGTTTTTGTTCTATGTAATGTGTTGCAGTTACCCGGAATTTATCGTAAAGCGCAATGGGGAGGCTTCCTGAATTTAGTGTAATACGTAGTCGGGTCTCAAATTTAGCATAGAGCATTGTCGGGTACCCCCCATGCAGGCCCTCTTTGGACTTGATTGAAACTTGATTCTGTCAGGCAGTTCATTAATCAATGGTGTCTCCTTACATCTTCAAACAACTTGACTGAATGGTTGGGAAATAGGCCCAAGTAATAAGGTATAGATGGTCTCAAAGATAAATAGAAGGATGTGATGACCCTAGATAGAGAGATACTAGTAGACTGATAAAAGTTGATACAAACTATCTTGGCTAGGAATACTTAGAAAGGCTACATTTCTGTGGAGAAGATTGAAAGCAAAATACATACAGTATACGGTACTCCATAATACAAAAAAATAGAGCTGAAACCATGGCAGAGTCCAAAAATGAGATACCACAAAAACAGATGGTTGTAAGGAATGGATGGAGAGTACAACTTTATTTTTGAAGACACTGCACTTTTGAGATACAATCAAGTTTAGCTTGAGCCCCAATCAAATACTAGTAGATACACGACCATAACATATCTGCCATAACCCATCTGAGACTGCATTACAAGAAGACCAAAGATGTATAAAAAGGTCACCAACAGTCATCTAGAAGGGCACGGAAAATGGGCTTCTGAATCTAAATGGCTGGGAGTTAGGAAGTAAAGAAGCCATAAGGCATCAGAACGGCTTAGATGAAAGGAGGTGCGTGCCATGTTCTGGATGGTTGACCTTTCCTTCATCCCCAGCTAGTGGATGCCAGATGATGCCAGCTACAGATACATAGACACTTAAAAATTGGCGGTGGGTGGGAGTTTTTGAACTGAAATACTAGTATACAAATTTTTGTAGGAGCCTGACTTGCTTTGGCCTTACGGTGTTCTAGCCGGCCTGAATTTTATTTGTCATCTCAATTTTGTTTGACGTATAAACATCATGTCAGTGCCAAAAGTGCTAGGCGTCATGCCAAAGGCTCTGGGGGTATGCTGCCCCATTAAAATCTTGACCCTCTGAAATACTATTTCCTGCATTTTGAGGGAAAATTTTGCTGTTAGAATAAGCTTAGTTCAATAATACATGTATCAATCTCTCTGTATATATCTTTACACAATGATTTTTGTCCGCCACAAGCAGCAAAATCCCATTAAATGACAGAAAGATGGACACAGGCTAGAACACTGGGTCTAATCTTGATCCTACCAGCCAATTGACAAAATTTGCTCTTTTACAGCCAGCTGGTATAAGATAGATGTTCTAACAGATGAGGGGGGGGGGTCAACTCCTGACCTGTACCTGTCCTAGTGACCCAATTACAGGTCTGATAAAACTGGCACAAAATGCACAGTTGGGCCTCCAGATTGATAGATAAGATAGATGCCTGTACCAAATATATATCCCTTTCCTCTAAGGACATGAAAGCCTACCATTAGTTTTAAAGTTTTCAATCACTAAGGGAGAACCTTAAAGCTTTCAAAAGCTGCAGTGGTGGCCAAGATATTAATCTCATGCATTGCTTGTGACAGTAGCTTGACATCTACAGTAGTTTGTAATATTACCAGATATGACAATTTTTTAATATGGTGACTACTGTACTTCATTAACAGAATTAAGACATAGCCCCATATTAGATATTTGTATGTGTCACAACGTGGTTTATATTGGTACTTTATCACACATATCTACCTATATATTAGGCCGATTCTGAGTCACACATACTGTATTTCTCCTATGTAAACTGGCTTTCTATGTAACTAAATCTAACTGCTCTTTACCTGCCCAAGCTAAAGTGTATGTCCTCCAACAACATTCTATCCTTGGTGCCCTTCTATATTTCATCAATTATGCATTTCATGACACATACATATAAGATCACCACGCAGCACAACAACTCCAATGCATCTCAGTAGACAGACTAATAATATTAGTCTAGATAAAAACACAACAGACAAAATTTCAAGTACCTGGCATAATAATAACTTGTCTTCACTGTACATTGTGGTGCAAAATTGTTCTTTGAAAACATATTTTAGTTTTGGTTGGCAAAAGTTACATTTCTACATGGGTATAGATGATTTCACGGCTTGTTGTAACAGCTTAATTCATATCGTGTTGTTTAATTTGTTTGTGAGGACACAAATTGGTTAATTCAATAACTTTAAACTGGCTACAACAGAAACATGGAAACTCAATTTACTCCTCTGAAGTTAGAACAGAGAAGAAGCTGGATGTAATTAGATTGAAAATGGCTGGAGGGCACATGTGTGTGTAGGTGTGTCCCAGTTTCGAGGGACAGGCATCAAAAGCTCCTGTCTGTAACACAGCCAGGGAAACAAACATATGGCGTATGTACAGAAATATGGGATATTTTCCCGGCCAACATAAAGAATTTGCCAGTTAGGAGCAGCTGTACTACATATCTCACCACCCCCAGGGTTTAATAAGTGAATGTCTGGGATTGGTAACATTCCTGGCTGATGGCAGCTGTCAGAGACAATCATGGCTGCAAATTAGCTCCACTTTTCCTCAGAATGTACAAATGGATTCCAACTCCAACACAAGAGACGGCAACGTCTGAAAACAGTTGCCCCAGGCAGTTTTTCTTTTTATAACAAAATTATGCTTCAAAGGAAAATACTGTTTGTTTTGGTTATTCCCTGTAACCTACCATTAATTTGTGACGTTTTCTAACCTGCTATTATATAACGAGGGTGGCAGTAATTTGAGAAAGCGTTGTGGCTTACTGGCTACCATACCTCAATTAAAATTCTTTCTTGATGTTTTGGGAAAGAAAACTTAGCATGCCTTGCGACAAATCCAAAATACCCACCAAAACATGATCAGACACAGCTACTACCATGCGATCATGTCATTCTCTATCCGCCATTTCTAAACACGCGATTTGACTCACCTTGTCTGCCATTTTCGGCCAGGTCGGCAGACCGCAGGTGAGACGACGACGGCGGCGCCTGGTACCCGTACTCGGCGGCCCGTCTCCCCAGCAACCCGTCCTGCGCCATGGGAAGTATCGGCTGCTTGGACGGCGTCCCCTTCTTCCCTTTCCCCTGCAGCTGTAGGATGCCTTGAACATAAATGGCAAAAAAACTTGTGATTGTCTGACCCCGGGTTTTCAGCCACCAACAGCTGCACAGCTCTCGTCCGTGATATTACAACAATCCTCCCGGAAAATATAATCTCTCCCTCAGGGGACATAAAAGAAAAGCTCAAACTACAGGCCGCAAAATGCAGTGAGTGCCCAAGATCAAAAAGCAAGGCCTGTGTGCCTAATAAGCCTTTGAAAGCCTACCAAGGCTAGGATCTGGGCATGATTGGTCTGCATGTAAGAAATGCAGGGAGGAGGAACATATGGCTTGTGTAATAGGAGAGGGCTGTCCATAAACATAATGTAGGTAGGTATATGGAAAGGTCTTGCTACCAAAAAAAATTAAAATTCATGGATCATAAAACAGGCTGGTGATATGAAAACTGAGACTATGAATGTGTTGCCATGTAGTGCTTTTAGGGTTTGAAGCTACTCATTTTACCAACATACACTTTTCTTATCTAGTTACAATTTGAACCCTTTCCAATTTGCTACCTAACATTTGTTTTTATATTGTAAACATATTTGATGGTAAAGGTTTAAAAATAGACTCCATAATTCTTACCAGTCAACTACAGTTTAGCCAAAACAACATTCTGGTTTCCGGTATTAAGCCGCTTTCTTACACAGTTACAGAAAATAAATCTAAAGCCTAATGGAGGTTTACAACAATCAAAACTTTCTTTTACTTACAAATAATTACTGTATGTACCAGCAAAAATTCATTTAGCTTCCTTTTGTGACATGCCACTGTCCTATTCAAATCCCGTATATAGAAGGTCACACCTGCTAATTTTTCTGAGGTTGACCTTTACAGCCTGCAGACACTGCAGTTCCCATACTTTACGGTAGGTGGCATGCTACAGGTGCAGCCCTCTCATAGTCATAAAAGAGAGGTGTCAGGCCAGATGCTGTGAAACTGTCTTCATTTCTAAACTCTTTGAGAAGTTTTTTTTTTTCACAATAGTGGAAGGCACTGAAAGTTAGTAGTACTTTGTAACTTTCTCATTAATTTGTTATACTAACGAAGACCTTCCTTGATTGGTGACAGCACAGGCAATATGTATACTTGGTGCATGCCATCTTTCATTGTGTCTGATCCTTTTAGTAGAAGAATGTTACTCTTTCCACACTACATATTTTATTAAAAAAAAAAATAGGGGTGTTTTCTGGAATATAACATGACCTATAAAAACTGCTAAATTGTAAAGCCAATGTGCATTATCTTGTGATTGTCAAAGGGATCGTCAGTTACAGCTGCGGACACAACTGACCACAATACTCTGTTGGAGGTCAATGACCTGCACAAAGTAACAACACCAACACTTGCTCACCTCCCCTCTGCACAATAATGGTTGTCTCCTTGCCCTTGGAGCACTCCTTGAGAATCCCCACCAGCTCGTTGTGTGTACACTGTCGTACGTCCGTGCCGTTGATTTCCACCAGCACGTCTCCCACGCACAGGTTCTTACACCGCGGCTCGTCCAGAATCTGTTTCACGCGCTGCCCGTACGCGCTGTCCGCGATCGTGAAGCCGAATCCACGGTCCCCTTTGACTATGTGGACCGTGACGTACTCCGGTTTTAGTTCCTCGGGGCGTAAACTCACGCCGTCCTCGTAGAAGTATCCGGTTGAGGCGCGGTTGGGGTGAGGACCCGGCTCCGGGGTCAACGACCTCTCGTGCTGATGCCTGGGGCGTGCGGAAATGTCTGGCATGGATTTGGAAAAGGAGGACTGCACGGTGTGAGTCGGGCGCTGCGGCGGCGGCACGAACGGCAGTCTATCCGGCTGATCGCCGTTGTACCTCGACACGAGACTGTCCACCGTGTTGGTGGTGGGCATCGCTATGGCAACAGAGGTCACAATGTTCGTGTTGGGGTCATCGGGGTCAAAGGGCAGAGGGTACCCCCTGCGGCACTCCAGGCGTACCCTCTGACCGGGCGGGATGGTCTGGAAGAGTCCGACCACGTCGCTGTGGGTGTAGCCGAGGACACAGGTGTCGTTCACAAACACTATCACATCACCTGGAGAAGAGATGGCAAACCTTCAGTATGGATACGAATATAATTTTCATCAGGTTGGTAGAACAAAGGATAGGAGTTTTATTTTACACAACCAGTAAATAAGAACCAGTGATGTACCAGGACGAGGGGGGGATACAAACTTAGCCATGTATGGGATTGTGTTCTCGTCACAAAATCACCACCTACATTGCCTATATGGCGAGAACTCTAATACTCCAGTCAGAAGCTCTGAGGACGTCTTCTTGCTAATAAGATGCAATGAAACGTAAGCAGGTCAGAAACGTTGTGTAAAAGAAAACTCCTTTAGTATGTATTTATTCATTGCAAATCAACACTACTAGTTTTGTTATTACACACAATGCATACAACTAACTCTTGTACCAAACATCTAAGGCTGCCATAAAAGTGTACATTTTGTACGTTGATGCAAGTGGAATTTTATGATGGCATGCTAACTGCATACTAAGAAAGTCTCAACAAAAGTATATAGTGTATTATTTTGTATCAGCCCTTATGATTGATACATATGTGGCACAGCCAACTTTGATCAATGTCAAAGTCAAAAAGGTTAAGCTGGAATCTTCTACAAAAATCCCTCCTTCCGGTTGAGTATCCAAGCATACAGGTAGAAGGTGAAAAAGTCACCTGTTTCTAGTTTCCCGTCCTCTGCAGCGGGGCTTCCCGGCACCACGCTCTTCACCTGTAGGAACTCCCCCGGCTCGTCACCCCCCACGATGGTGAACCCGAACCCTCGCTCGCTCTTCACCAACAACGTCTCGATCATCTCTCCCGTCAGCTCATCTGGATTGCTAGTGAAGTACGCTTTGGACGCATTCTCAGCCTCTGTATTAATCAAACAGGATTGCAGTGCTACGATTAGGAGGCGAGGCTCGCAAAACAGCATATGCGGAAGAAACAGTCACACACAAGCCGTGAATAGTTTTATCAGGTTGGTAAGACACTGAGTAAAGAGGCTCTTTTTACACAACCAAGTCTTTTATTATTTAGCCGACGTTTCGGTGACCGTTTGTCACCTTCCTCAGGGTAATTCTGACTGGTTCGCATAGCATTGCAGCATAGGTGTTACTGCTATAGATGCATTGTAGATACATTTCCCTGTAATCACCCATATGTGTAGATATGTAAATATTGTACTTTGGGAACGCATCTATTATAGCAGCGACTCCTGTACTGTAATTTGCAATTGGACCAGTCAGAATTGCCCTGAGGAAGGTGACAGACGGTCACCGAAACGTCGGCTGAATAAAAGACTTGGTCGTGTGAAAAGAGTCTCTTTACTCAGTGACACACATGAGATGTTTTACTCCACTCCATTAGAGCAGTAAGCAACATACTAGAGCATATCTAAGGGAAAAGCTTTAATATCAATGACAACAAGATAGCACTTGATGAAAGCTTAATTGTATGTCAGATTGTAAATATAGGAAGGTTGGTGAGTGTGAGCAAAGTAGCTTAGTACCTGATCTTAGCCATCTAATGAGAAGTCTGATGCCCATCAGTCTATTATATATTATTACATAATATCATTTGTATGTAGCAAGCCAGGGAGAACGGTTTAGTAGCTGCAGAAAAATTAATGTTAGGAATGTATTGTAATAAAACACAAACACAAAGATGAGCTGTAAGGGGTTTTAGTATGAGTGTGAGATTGAGTGAGGAGAGGAAAGAAAACGGAATCATTGGATGACGATTATACGTTGTCTACCTGCAGGGGGCGGCGGCCCGGTATCGGAGCCGCCGGCGGAAGGCGGAGCTTTATCGGACTGATCGTCGCGGGGAGAATTTTCGCGGGAATCATCAACAGGAGCTTTACCATTGTCAGGGGGAGGGGATGTGCGCTCGGAATCGGAGGCAGGGTGGGTGGAGGAATCATCAGTTTCTGTAAATCATCGTTGGGAAGACATGTACATACAGCAGATCAACAAGTCAGGTCATGCAAGGTATAGCAACAGTCACACATGCAAACAGTGGTACAAAAGTATGGCAGCACAACAGTAGTACAGAACAAATCATCGGGAAATCAGGCTAGCTTCAGTAGCATGGCAGTTCAGCAAGACAAGACAGTTCATACTGACCCGATTAACATGCAGGGCAAAAAGTCAACTGTACGAAAACTTTAAGCATTAAATTTTTTCGGTGTGTAATTTAAATCGGCCTGCTTTGATGTGTATCAAAAACATGGTAAAGACCGTTCTTGACATATGTCAAACCTGGCCAATCTACACCCAGGAAAAATTACATTTTCTTTTGGAGAGTTTTGGATGCCTGTGTGTGTAAGCAGTTTTCATACCGTCAAGTTTATGCCCACATGTAAATTAGTTCACTGATGATTCTGATGGCTAGGGCTACACCAAATCAATCATGAAGTCAAATTTGACTCAAATTTAACTCAAATTTGATAGGCTGCTTCCAAACTTCAGCCAACCTTGATTCGTGGTTGGGATGGGTTGGGGGGTAGTTTCTGTATCGGTAGCATTGGCTTACAACAACTCAGAGGCATTGCATTCTCTATCATGGCACACTAATGCAATTGTGTGGTCACAATGTCAACACCATTATTCAATTGGAAGGCCCTACTGAAAACCTGTTGACATCAAAGTGCATCAGCATGCTCTTCCAGGCCATCCAATCAATACACGGCCATGTATCCACCTTTATACGTCCATTATCAGATTTGCACCAAACAAAAAAGATTTCTTGGATGGAGCGGTGTCACCCAAACTACATTAGGAACAGACCAGATGGATCCAAGGACAGAAATACAAGATTAAGAACGTTTTTTTAAGCAGTTTTTTAAAGATCACTTTCCGTTATTATCTTATTTCACTTTTTCAGTCAACTTTCTTCAAATACATTTTCTAAAAACACTACTTGAGATCTTTGCTTTTTATACCTTTTCTTGGTCCTTCTTGGTCCAGTTCCCTTACATTTACTAGAAATATAGTTATGACATCCATATTCCATTAGACTCGTAATGCATCTCCTTACAAATACAAAAATCTAGCTTTTTGCAAATGCATATCAAATCATAGCCACATACAAAATGTTCAATCAACTTAAAGAATGGCCTAATACAATCAAGGCTTTTAGATGCTGCTGTCTTAATATATGTACATGCATCTAAATGCATTAACCCTTGTATAATCCCTTGCAAAGTGCAGAAAGTTGTAAGGATGAACGGATGCAGATTTCCATTGATGGCTTGATCGGCTGAATTGCGTTACAACATCCCTCAGTATCTGCTGCAGTGGGGAGTTAAAAGGCCATGGGAATGACCGTACCGGCGCCCCTGTATATCAGACGTGACATTTACACCGTGCCGGCCATTTCGCCAATACACGGGGCAGCCGGGGCATCCGTCAGAATTAGCGCACCTACACTAACACGCACGGAGTTAGGAAGATACTTTATAGCTTTGCTCAGGGTTACTCTCTGCATATGGCCCGTAACACTGTTATAACAATAAACCTGATGCACTTGAAACTATACCTACAGAGATAAAGTCAGGTCTTTAAACATGAAAGCACGGCCGGAGCACCCTTATCTGTGTGTGCAACAACAGTCCGTGTGTTGAGTCTGGACAACATTTTACGTTTTATGTGTTGGAGTGGTGATGTAGTCATATTTGACGGGCGGGCTCCCTTTTGCTCATAACACAGGTGTACAGGGCTCGAAATTTCGCCAGTATATACAGGTTAGTGCAGGTTTTAAAATTGGGGCTGTGCAGGTATTTCTGATGTCTACCTGCACCTGCAAATGTACTGGGTTCATATACAAATGTATGGGTATGTTTGTTTCTATTTTGTGCATGGACTGATAACACTTATGAAGTATAAAAGAAATAATGACAATGAGTTTTCAACAGCTTTTAATATGATTCATATTTCCTAAATTTGGCAGTGCTGCAGGTAATATTTGTCTGGTGGTCAAAAATGGTGGATCTTTACCAAAGAAAAACATTGTTTTTGCTCAGCAGTTTCTTCTTCTTCTCCAAACAGTGACCTCTAACAAGGTCAATGACCTGAACCAGACCGTCTTTCACCATGGTAACTGGTGTTGGGTTACATAATGTTGCAATTTCATTAGTAGGGGGGATTTAGACTCCTGTCACCATATATATGAATGTGTTTGAGTAAGAATTAACATAGCAGAGCATATGCGAAGGCAAACATTATGCATTTGATTTGCAAATGTTACTTTTTTAGTTTTCAATATTACCTTCACCAGTGCAAGTTGTGCAGGTGTGCAGAAAAAAAGGATTTCGAGTCCTGCCTTACAGCTGGCTGTTACGGTACAACACAACCCCCGGCTGGCGTCCTGATTATGATCTACCGCTGTTAATGTTGCATGCAGGACTGTTATATTGGGAAATCAGTCCTGAGTTGGTACAGGATTACTCTACCCCATGTGCTGCCGGGCACCGAGTCAAAAGAGCCAATAAAAATGCTCATCGCAGATGCAGGACGCGGAGTGCCCAGGTGGTAATGAAAACATTTTTCTCGCTCCGAGACGTGAACATATCTGTGAGAATCAATACACAGACCCGTGACTTAGGGCACATCAGATAAAATTCCCAGCTTCTTTAAATTGATTGTCAACACAATGTTTTATATCTCCAATCTACATTCATATCACAACAGCTTTTAGCATAGCAACAACTTGAACCCGTAAGTATAGACTACTAAAGTCTTGCTTGAAAGAAATAACACGTTTTCTGAAATATCACTGTTGCTGCTAATGTTTAAAATATGTCACCTATCACGAACCGAGAACAGGCTCATGTGTGGTGATGGGAATGGTTTGGGTGCAGAAGATGGGTTGTTATGGCTGACTTTTACATTAGGGAACTGCATCTGTAACAGTAACACTTCTACATACGAAACATTACAACATTTCATGCACACTTAGGCCTCGGAAAAAAATGTTGGTGTTTTTGGTTTCCCGACCGACCCTAGCCTTTTTTTGATCGACAACTAAAAAATGTTCGATCAAACCCTCTAAATTCTGAACTTCATTCTAAAACACATTTTTAGTAGCAATTTTTCAATTTGCATTGTTAAACTTTATTTGTTTTAGAATTTAGATGGTATTGAGAAAAAAAAGAAAACCTGTGAAAAAAATGTGAAAAAAAAAGAAAAAGAACAAGCATGTGTCCAAAAATAAATCAATTTTAACTCAAGTAAAAAGTATTGTCTGTCCTGCATTTGTTTTACATCTGTGGGATACAACACCAGCAACAGCTGCCTTTGTTCCACTGTATTGTACTGTTACAATCTCAATAAATCAAATCAAATCAAATCATAACTTGAACGTTGTTGATAGTGAAATATAGATGATGGCACTGACTTCATAAACACATTTGTAGTCAGAGAGAAGCCAGTATTTTACTTTTATATAAACATTAAGTCAAATACATTTACAAGGGATAAATTGGAAGCGAGGTGTGATGAAATGTCTGGTGGCAGGGAAGTGTACAGCTGCAACCCTGCATATATTTATTTTCTACTAGATGAAATTGAATCGAGGCTGGCGACAATCAGACCTGTCTGCATTGACTAATGGAGCCATCAAAACTCCCTGCCAAGTTAACAAGACATCAGACCCAGGCGCACTGATAGGCCATATTGATTTGATTATATGGATGACATCTCTGCGTGCATGAATTTTCGCCTGGTTTTGGGAGAAAAAAAAAATTTTGTTGCCCTCTGACAGTGGTCAACATGCCGAAAATGGGCAATGATGTCTGTCGCAGTGACAGAACGTGGATGGCAGATAACTATGAGAAGAGGAGACAAGATAAGGCTCTGATTTAATGTTTTGTCTTTTACTTTTGATGCAGTGATGTATTTCCTTACCTTTTATATATGATGGTGACAGCGTACATGTGATGTTCTCACTGACTCAAAACCATTTGTACAATGATTGGAAACTTTTATTTTCAAAGTTGTTTCAGTGAGAAATGGATGTAATTGTTGGCAGTAAACTTAGCACAATAAAGGTATCATTTCTCGTTTAACAAGGTTCATGATGTCAAAATTTGAAAATGTAGGAATCTTGTTTTTTGAGGCCCGCCTTTTTTTCCCCCTATCGGATTAGATTTTGAGTCTGTGGAGGATGTCATCCATAAAATTTCCTTGCTATGGTCTTAACCAGACATCAGGCCCAGCCGCTCAGTTAGACTAAGAGGGGGGGCTGGCACCTGCGGCAGTTGTCCCAACATTAGGAGCAGACACAATGGTGAAAGTAGGCCCCGCACTGAAGCAATTTTCCACTTCGTTGGGATTAGGGAATTGTGTTCGGATTTTCCCTGACATTATCAGGTCTTAAATTTTGAGATAAACAAAACGCTGCTTCCAGTAAGCTGAAGCATATAAAAGACAAGAAACACACTAGGGGGAATCGGCTACTTAGTTTGTATGAGACTAAGTGCAATTTCTGCTAAAACTTGTGGCAGTAAACTTTTAAAGCAATTTTCAAACAGAGTCTGAAACAAATCCCATCTTCCTTTTGTCATAAGACAGCATTAACGATTATTTCGTAGACTATGCTTGGGGCTATATGTAGCTTTGTTACTTTACGGTCACCTTGAGTTTTACAAGTTGAAGTAATGACTGGTTACTGCCTGATTCGTGAATTACCAGAATATTGTACATCTGGAAAAACTGATTTCTTTCACCATAATCACAGATCAATCTGGCTTTTTTCTTATTTCATACCAAACTACAGTCTGCCTCCTTTTTCCTGTGTCTGTTACAACAATGTACATTGTACATCTGTCATGATCAACTGCAATTCCAAGGTTGTTTCAAGTAGGCATACAATATGACTTTCAAATTTAGGAATTTTGGAGTGCAGTGGAGGAATTTTGAACAGAGCACAATTCAATATTGTCTCTGAATATATGTATCAGATTCCTTTAATTTGCACTTGGGATGTGAGTGTATATGTTTGCTGGTGGGAGCATAGTCACCAAAGTGCTTCAGACATTGTGGAAGATTTCCAATGTCCAGCTCAATATCTACTGGGAAGCCCAATACAGGCCTACACAGACCAACTTTCTAACAAATAGATGATGTTGCTTGTATGTCGATTGTTTCGGGTACGTGCCTTGCTGACCAAGAAATTGAACAATAAACTTTTGAAAATTTTGGTGAGACAAAACTGGGGAAGAACTAACTTTGTATGAAAAAATATACCTGATGTACAGCAAAATATAAGGGGGGAACATCCCAGGAACTTAAGGAACCACAGGGTCTTTTGCCTGGAAGGGATTAGTTTGATGGAAATGTTTGTACTCCCATTAGGACACAAACTTCAAGATGCCAAAACATGTGCTGCCCCCCTCCCCACCCACGCCAGCCACACCCACCTTCATGTACTGTAAAATGGTTTATTTCAACAGTGCACAATCTTACATGTACACAATAGTTTGGCATCGAAAGCAAGCCTGTAAGGCTCTGTTTCAGTAAAACATCTCAGGAAAGTATTCATATTTGTATTCAAATGAAATACCTGCCGACTTTTTACCAGTTAACCATTCAGGTTGACAGTATGATGCCAAACTGTCTTTAGAACCTAAACAAAAACATTCTTTTCATGACACAAGTCTCACAGGGAATAAACTGTCCAGTCAGTACTGCTTTCATAATGCACTAGGAATTATGTTGTAAACTTTTGCACATTCTTTTGTCAAGGGCCAAACAATTGAATCAATGGATGTACTTTAACTAGTACATTCATGACCTTGGTTTTGTCTTGTTGGGAAGTGTAGTTATAATATAACCCAACACCACATGGTGTCTGCTACAGCACCAGTTACCATGGTGACAGACATCTGGTCCAGGTCATTGACCTTACGTCAATGAATGAACTTGACTGAACCACTTGAAGTTTCACAAAACAACGATTACCGACTCCAGTGAAGTTTCTATCCTGCCTGCAAGTAACAGTGTAACCATGTTGACATTTTAATTGGCTTTTTCCCTTCTTTCTGATGCGCATGACTTATTCAATAGTCTGCCTCAAGGTCAATGTGAGATCTCGGGTAATCTCTCGCAGCGGCAATCACATCCTCATCATCGGCTCATCTGGTCCTTCGCGACCGTTACAGGAACGCCGGCACGGGATTGGCGGAGATGTTACCCGGGATGACGGGGGAATCATTGGCTTACGGTTGGGCCGGGCTGGGTCTAATGGATTGTTGAGCGAGTAGCGAGTCAGCCAGACTGTCTGGTTTTAGTTGTCAGAATGTCAAGTGTCGATGTACCGAGGAAATATCGCCTCAACATTAGGAGGCACAAGGGAGGAGGTCGATGAATCAAGAGACAGTTTTATCAAAAGGAAAAGGGTGCCAGCTTACTGTCTGTGTTCCTAGGGGCTTTTCCGTAATGGAAATCGTAGATTAGCCGGAGAAAGTGCTAACATATATCTAGACAGCTTTTGATTCTTTTTTGTCTTCGTCAGAAGGACTATGAAATTGTCTCGCCGGAGTGTGGGGAACTGCGGATTTTGCGATATAACTCTGGAAGGCATGATTCGACGTCCATGATTTTTGGCAGGCAGATTACCGCTGTTGAGGCCGAAGTCAAGTACAAGTTTCGGCTTCGTGGGGGGTCCGTGCGTCACGTTAGTGCACCTTTTGTGTTTGTGGCTTGTTAGCAAGATAACTCAAGTATTTGTAAAATGTTGATTATAATTCTTGGTGTGGTGCTTACTATTGTCGGGACCAAGCTTAAGTTCGTTACTGAGCTTCGTGGGGGGTTTCGTTGTGACTAGAGGGGGCATTTTGTTAATTTTTCTTGTGAGCAGGATAACTTTTGTATGTGTGGATGGAAGTTAATGAAATTTGATAGGCATGTTACTGTCGTGGTCTCCAAGATTGAGTTCAAAGATGAGAGTCGTGGAGGTCGTTATGTCCCCGTAATAGGACCTTTTGTGTTTAGAAACCCCCACCTACATCTGCTTGGAGACAGCCGACAGCTGGATATAGCCAGGGAACCCCATGATGGGATGGGATCAAATGACGTTACATTGAGGGATTGTACTATAACTTCAGCAGGGGGAGGATAGGTTGGACATATGTCAGGTTATTTTCTACGGCCACACCAAGTAATTGCTATGGATGACGTCCACTGGAGACCTTAAATCTAATTACCTTAAATTTAAGGCAAGCGCACAATAAAAACACGAAGGGCCGAAAAACGAGATGCCTAGATTTGGAATATACTAAATGTAGAAGTACAAATGTTAGGACACAAAGAACACAAGAAACAAGTCTTCTATTTGTCATAAAGACAAATTAACAAAACAGCAGTACGTAGTCACCCTGTTCTGATTCTTTCCTTTATAACATCTTCTCTTATTATATTTTGCGGCGCTGTCGTGACACTTTCAACACAGAAAGAATTTCTTGAACGTTTTTTTTTTCCAGTAACAGTCCAAACTCAAATAACGTAGAGGGGGGGACTAACACGGGTGACGACGCATCTGTATAATCTGCGGCAAACCGTTTCAGGGTGTTCTGTACCATAAAAATAGTACAGAGATTCTTTTGGTCTTTAGACCAAAATTGATTAATTAAAAAGAGTGAAGAATACGCATGTTAATTTCTCTAGAACGATGTACCTCTGACGAAGACATGAGATCTCCGACCTCTTAGTTTTTTATGCTACTGCTAGCACTAGTATTGTCTGCATTCTACAAGTGGATTTTTGTTGTCTTATGGTGATGTACAATGTAGATGAGGATGCTGATGTACATCAGTACACAAACACATGTACACACACACACACACACACATACACATGTATACTAATTTGGCTGCACACATTTAAATCTGTTTGATTTTGGTTAGGCTGCACCCTGGGTCCCAATTTGATCCATTTGCTACACTAATTTGTGATGGGTATTCCAATTCAAAACGCATGCGCGCGCACGTGCACACACACACACACACACACACACACACACGCACGCACGCACACACACACACACACACAAACTACACAACACACACGCATACGAATTTGGCTGCACACATTTACATCTGGTTTATCTTAGTTATTGGCAGCACTCTGGCACACACAATGTGGAAATGTGTTGTGATGGATATTCCAATGAGAGAATTGACATCTACCGTGCAGCCCAGTAATGAGAACATTTCAACAGTTATCAGGAAAAGTCCTACAGCTTGCTCCGACTCCATTAACACCCATTGCAAACCATCCCAGCCGGTCAGAACAATCAATATTCTTCACACATGCTTGCGCCGTCGACCTGAGCAAAGTCAATATCTCCCTCCCTACCAGAGACCTCTCTCCACATCTACTATCCACCGGCACCATCAAAAACTAATTTTTGAACAGCTCCAGGGAAAATAAACCATTTCCTTTGCAATCAATAGTACCTTTAGTACGTACGTGTACCTGTGCCGAAACTAACTTGAGGGTAAGAAGGTTTAACTGGCTAGTAGGATTTCAGTAATCCTCGTTCCCGGCTTAGATGCTAGCTTAACGGAGTGACCTGAATTTCGAGCACTCTACTGAAGAGCATTTATATCTGTTGAAGAGAATTTGGAAAAACCCCGATATTTCTTCCAATAATGTTGGTATGGTGGCTGGCTGGGAATTTGGACCACTGCATCCAATGTTATGATCCATCCTAAAGCTAACAGAATAGTTTACAAGTAATGTATGTTACTTTTACCTGTGGCCTATAAAATGCCAACAAAACATTCTGGGATAGGCACTGTAACCTACTACTCGTACTAGTTATGTATGTGCTGATTAATAGATTTTGCTTGTGTTGTATATCTATTATATAGCTCAAGTATGCAGCTCAAATATATGGTCATATTGAGATTTATTCTTCTGCATTTCGGCACTAAAAAAAGATGTCACTGGCCGCAGAGTAATAAAAGAAACCTTCAGCCCTTCCCCATCCAATCTCCTCTACTCAGGATATATTTCCTAAGCCGTACACTTGTGTTCTGACTGAGTTCCCTGAGCTGAGGTCAGGTCAAGTCAGGACTGAAAAAGTCAATTTGTTGTCACCCAAGCCTTCTCTCCCTCTCACATGAAGCTTGATCTCATCCTGCTCGGCGACTGACAGGACCATTTTTGCCGATGTGATAAGAGAGCTCTGGCATTTCACAGGCTCATGCATCTATATTGAAGCTGACCTCCAAGAGTCGTGGCTTTGGGACCCACTCTTTGGTATACCTTCCACCGTTCGGGTCATTTTTATTCAGTAGCCGTGTACCTGCTGTGTTGAGCATCCATACATGTTATATGCTACATGTAACACATCACAGCAAGATTCATAGAAACTGTGGGCAGAGCAAAGGGCAGCCCGCATTTTCTCGGCAAAGCCTTTATCTCCTGTCCGCACCCCCTCGCTACCGCCTACATGAACATGATTGGTTGAAACACCTTTCATCGCGAGGCCCCAGCTGACTGAAGTTACCACCTTTTATATCACCGGCATCTTCCTTCCGTGATCTTCCCAGGAAATTTCTCCTTTGCATCTGAATGCCTAGTGAAGCAGCAACTGGCGCGTCTGAATACTGAGCCTGCTACGTTATATACCTGCTAACGTTTTATACGTTTTACGACCTGATGAAAGATAAATGAAACTTGCTCATGTTTGAAAGAGCTTGGGGGAAGAATGATAATACAGTTGAGATATTTTCTAACGGACGTTATAATATAACACCCCTTAGCTGTGTTGTTTCAATCATATATTCAAGAACCACACGAGAGAATCGTAGCGTGGAAACTGGATCTATCTAAGATGGATTTCTCACCTTTGGGAATCTTGTCGGCATCCATGGTGGGCTTCTCGTACTGCGTCCTGCGGTTGACGTGACTGCATGGAGAGGGGGGGAGAACAAAATTACCACGCTGAACACATGGCAGGCACGAGCACTGCATGGTCTCAACCCTGACAGAGCCCACCTCAAGGTGTGGGCACCGGCGAATTCCTCAGCATGTCAGGAGGAACTGCACAGGCCCGTGTGTGGATCGGCTTTGATTTCCATGTATCAAAAGGCAGTGGGAGAGAGTGCTTCATCATGCAGCAAGTCACACTACACTGGACAAAGCCGTTTGTTGGCCCCGGCCGTGTTTGGCATGCAGTGATCAGCAGGCTGAGTTAATTTGTGCTTGCCGAATCCACACCAAGTTTGCCTATTCTGCCTTGCCCCCGGGCAACCCCAGGTCACCTCTCCTGTTAGCGGGATGGGCAGAGGAGGCTTACACGCCACTCTACATGGAGGTTAACAGTACATAACTACACAGGAAAAAAAAATCAATGAGCCAATCCAAAATTACAGTGCCTAACAATTAATCTAAAGCGACAGGAATGGAAACAAAGGGATACCTGCTTATCAATGGATGCAGTCGATATCTGTACAAAGACTTGTACAACAGATACACTGGGAAACCCTTGTGATGTCTCTTACATTAGGATGCAACAGGATATAAAACTAACAGTTTGCAGGCTGCACGATTAAAGCCTGGGCTTTAGGTGGTGAGGACAGGCTGGCTGGTGTCAGGACAAGGGGGAGTCCCCAGAGGTTTGATTAAAGAAAACAGGACTCAAAAACTAACAACTTCTACTGTAAATCTGGGGCAACAAAAACAAGGAAGTTCCTTTACATATTTTTGAAACCATCTTTTTTCAGTATTATGAAAATGATAAAAAGGTTCTCAAAGGACCCACCGAACACTAGTGTAGATCTATATGTATTGATTGGCTGCATTTTGGTTTATAGATATGGACGTAAACTAAGAGCTGATTTACACAAAGCAAAAAACTGATGGAACGAAAACTGCATATGCACCTGAGCATACGAAAACTGTGTACGTTGAATTTTTTTCTATCTATAAATCAGCATGCTTTGACATAATTCTGTCAAAAAACATAACTCCTACGCCAGCCCTCAAGGTAACATATGATCGGAACGTACGCTCTTGACCTGCGTCAAAGCAGGCCGAATTACACGCGGGAAAATCCGCCGTACCCAGTTTCCGTACGCTTCCGTGCGTTTTTGTACCGTCAGGCTTTTGCCCGCGGGTCTAACTACAATGTAAGTGACTGCATGTTACTTCAGCAAAAGGCGGCTATTAATCCATAAACCAATAATTTTCAAAACTGCACTGCTATTACTCGGACATTTAAGATCTGTGGATATGACACAGAAGTAACCCTGAGGTCATCTATAGGATATCAAAATTTAAAGCCGGCTAATTTGAACATCACTCATGTTGAAATGTATCCCTCTAGGAACCAGGTGGTCCTAGACAACAGGAAGGAAGGACACAACTCAGAACTGTCACTCAGGAATGTTAGATAGCAGGCTTAGCCTTGAGATAGATCAGATTTATACACGCAGAAAACAACATGATGGTACAAAAATAGTGTATGAAATCTCTATATGCACGCAGAAAACAACCTGATGGTACGAAAATAGTGTATGAAATCTCTATATGCACGCAGAAAACAACCTGATGGTACGAAAATAGTGTATGAAATCTCTATATGCACGCAGAAAACAACCTGATGGTACGAAAATAGTGTATGAAATCTCTATATGCAGGGCTAAAAATTCATTTTGGCAATAGGTGCACTGGTGCACCCAACCTAAAAAATTCAGTGCACAAAAAAATTTTTTGGGGAACTGTGTAAGATAAAATGAAAGTAGAATGTCAGCAAAAACTAATCATGTTTCATTTCTAAAGAAAAGTACTATAAGTTAAGTACTATAACACTCAGATATTAGGAATATGCTGTATGCTATCAAACATCTTAAGATACGTAAACCTACAAATATATTTCGAGTTCCAGAATTTCGGGCCCTGATTGTATGTCAAATTTTTCCTGTGTAAATCGGCCTGCTTTTAGGGGCTAAAAAAAGGTACATGTCATGACCAGGTACATTTGTACTCATACGAAACTTGGTTTCACGTGAACCATTATTTTTGCAGAAATGCAGTGACCCGTGTCCGATAGCAGATAGATACAGAGTGCCAGGTTTCGCCACCAAAAATCTATATCCTACTGTATTAGCCATGCATAAGGCATATTGTTGCAAAGTACTGTGATCTATAAATATATATCACAAGGTGTAAATGCTATTTGCAAGGATAACAGAATCCCATAGGGGAATTAGGGGCGGATGCATGAATAGTGTGAACTGAGAGATTGTGGAACGATAACGATACAAGCATCACCTGAAGAAAAGTGAGATATGGCTGTTCTAATGGACAGATTACTTGTGATGGCATCACTTTCAGCAATAAAAAAAGCCCTCGCTATTTCTTCCTATACATGTGATTTTGTATGATCTCTGTCAGAGGGTGCATCGAAGTAGCTGTGTCGAAGGAATATTGGTTATACATGTATCAGATTATCGGATCTGGACAAGACTAGGGAAGAATACTGTAATTCACATTGTCTTTACAGTGGCAAAATTTATTCAGTCTGAGGAAAATGGATAGGGGGAGGGTGACTAATGATTTGATGATGGTAAATAAATGATAAGTTCACGGCACAGAAGGGACCGTGAAAACAGTGAACATAAAAGTACTGTGAAAAAAATCAGGAATTACAGTACAAGGACGTGAAAACTGGTTGTGAATACATATTTTCTACATGGCAAACTGTGTCAAAATGTTGCTATGAGCAGATATCTCTTCCATCCTCAGTCGCTATCAGTTCTCAAATGGTTGCTGAAGATCAACATCATTCACTCTAAAACCCAAAGTCCCAACGGTCAACCATTCATAGCTTTCCAAGGCCGCATTGGTTGCCTTCAGCTACTCTTAAAAATGATCAGTCATCGGCAAAGAGGAACTTAAGTATTTTAGCATCATACTGACCTTTCAAAATCCCTCTTTTTGCTAAACCTGTTGGGTCAATCCTGGCAGAGTTATCGCAGGTCTCACCGAGACAAAGAACACCTAAGGGGTGACTTCTGGAGATTTGAGTCATAAAACACTTCAGAAAACGTACCCCAAAACAAAGGGCCTCAAGGCTTTGCATCAGTAGCTATCTCAATTTATGAAGGAGCACGTATCTGGTGGGATCGCTACTGGAGGGGAGGATTTAAATCAAGGGAAAATGACTTGCCCCTAATAAACTGGGTAATCACCTGTGAGGAAAATCGGGAGAGCATAATTGGGAACAATCAAGGTTGGCAACGTCCCAGCAGGCCAGGCCATTAATTATGGTCAGTTCTGAAACACTTGGATTAGGACGATGAGGGCAAGTTTAAACTGTAATTTCCAACACGAGACGTTGGGCTTACCCAAATTTTCGACTACAATTCCAGTCCTATCCAACGCTTCTTTGACGTTATGCAGATAACATACATGTGCGTGACTGATATGTGGCTTGGCAAGCAGTGGATCATATTATGTTACAGAAGTCTGTGGCGTCCCCTGTCTCGGTTGAAGGATGACTGTAATGCTACGATCCGTGGATTGCTCATTTCTTCACAAAGACTGGACTTGTCCAGTTGAAAATTAGTCCAATTTCTTGTGTTGGAAATTACAGTTTGCTCTATGATGACTTCTACCAACACAGATGAACTTTCAAGAAACTTGAATGAGGAGTTGTTGTACATCCATTAACATGGGTGCAAGAACCCCATAAACCACACCGCGAGCTAAGGGCAAAAACGAATGCATTATCTCAGGATAGACCTTTTTACCGAATTCCCTGGATACTCGGTTTCAGCCAGGTGTACAACAGGTCAGCAGAATGGATTTGGTTAGCCTTGGGAGCTATTGTCAGCTCCTTATCTCCCTATAAATCTTGTGGGTGATTCCAGGACCTTTGTGGCCCACTGGGCTTACGTTTTCAGGAGGAGGCGATCTATTTCTGAGTGAGGGTCATTGTTCACAGATTTGGCTACTTTGGCTCTATGATAAGAACAGAAAAACTGGTATGATACAACAATAACATTGCATGTGGTACAATCCGCCTTAACATCCAGTACTCTTTCCTAATGTGATAAAATATTTTGAAAAATATCCAAAATGTCACCTTTTTTCACATAGAAAAATCCATAGGTAAGGGATTTCTTTCAGTCAATTTTGTACTGGGTTCATAAAATATGTTCATTGGAAATATAGCATTATCAATAATATTGTCAATGGAATAGCATAGAGCCTCATGATTCAATCACAAGCAGAAATATATTTTCATCATAAAACAAACACAGTCGCCCCTGTAAAAAACAGCAGTATTTTGACAACATTTTAGAACTACGTCGAGTAAAAACAGCAGTTACAAGTCACACACACACTGTCATTCATAGCTGTTTCTTCCACAATATCCCATCAATGATTTATTCCCGTCTTCTCCATATCTTCTCAGGTTTGACTATGACAAATGCTTCATCATAAAACAAACACAGCCCCCCTAAAAACAGCAAGTTTTTGAAAACATTTTAGAAACTATGTCGAGTAAAAATAGGAGTTACAGGGTGCACACACACTGTCATTCACAGCCGTCTCTTTGACAATATCCCATCAATGATTTATTTCCGTCTTCTCCATATCTTCTCAGGTTTGACTATGACAAATGTTGCCGGTGCTGAGATCTAAAAGCACGAGCTACCCCGGGAGACTTCTGAGCCGGCGGAAAAGATGAACCCAGAGCACGTTTTCACCGCCCGAAAACGGCTGCGCAAAGAGATGGCATCGGAATTCAGATTCCGCACCACAGCCCGAGAGTATGTTTTATTACCCGAGCGAAAAGATTAAATGTCCCCAATGCATGCAGCTAAAGCACTCGGTGTGTTCTACCTCACTGCTCATGATTAGGAACATAATTGGAAGACTTGCTCTTTCTGCACCACGGAAAATTACTTGTTTCGTAAGGCTTAGCGTTTCATTACCCTTAAAGTTAAGATTGGCTCAAGCGGTTTCTTTCTAAGCCAAGAGAATGAAACAATGTCAAGAACTCATTCTACAAACAGTAGATGCAATAGCGCATTGCCTTTGTTTTCAAAAAACGTTGTACGTGTCTTTCTACCCAATTTGTCAGCTTTTATTTGCGATTCTACTGAGCACGTTGTGTGTCAAGTTCTAAAAGTTACAAATGTCTATAATCATGTAATATAAACAGTAGATGTAACAGTGCATTAACTCTGTTGGCAGAATACATTGTACATGTATATGTACATATCTTTTCACCCAATTTGTCAGCTTTTATTAGCACTTCTACTAAGCACCTTGTGTGTGTCAAGTTCCAAAACGTTACAAATGTCTATAATCATGTAATGTAAACAGTAGATGTAACAGTGCATTAACTCTATTTGCAGAATACATTGTACAATGTACATGTACATATCTTTTCACCCAATTTGCAATTCTACTAAGCACCTTGTGTGTGTCAAGTTCTAAGAGTTACAAATGTCTGCAATCACGTAGCATTCAAACCCAGTTTAAGAGTGAAGCTGATAATACATGTTTACATACCTGATGGATCCAAGTGATACAAATGTATAACAGTCTTGGGCTAAGGCAATGTGTCAAACTTTGACACAATGCATAAAGTAAGTTTTTTTAAAAACTTGTTGTTGTTCATAACATTCATACATTGTAACTTTACAAGAAATTGACGAATATACAGTACTTACAATTTTCACATTATGTAAGTTTACAGGATCAATACTTCATATTAGTCACCATTTGTGAATTTGTGAAAAAAAAAGTGAGGAAAAACTTTTTCTCCAACAACATGTTGTAATTCCCTACAGGGACAATAAAAGTTCAAGGTACAAACTTTGCCTTTTAGTTTTTTTTCTCTTGTCTTTGTGACACATCATCTGACCTTAACTTAAGCCACAAACTTTCAACTTTATCATATCTCCAACTCAAGTACAAAACCACATTCGCTTGTACTCCGTTGTAGCCTCAGGTATAAATCTACACAAGAGCCTTACAGAATACCTGCCAAACCTTAACACAGTCCACTAGGGGAAGGACCTAGGATACCCCATACTCACGATGATATGAGTTATGTTATATGCCAACAGCTAAGGGGAAAGAAACACATTGGTGTACCCTGGGGGCAAGGCTATAGCCATAACTCTGTTAGAATGGTAAGGAGACTAACAACCAGAGCTTCTAGCCTGTCTATCTTTATGCATTTTTCCCAAGTTACGTGTAATTTCAGAGAGAGTGAGGGATGTCCTACCTTGAACCGGGGCTTACCTAGGAATGAGGATTGTCCATTTGGAAGAGGCAATATCTGGAGTTTCAAAGATGCAAGCCTGAGAGTCCATCATGTAGATTACAATGTAGGTTGTTGTAAGTTTGGGGAAAGATCTGGGTGTGTGTTCCATTAGGCTATACATATGGGCACATCTGTAAGCTGGGCTCTACTGTCTGGAATACTGATTCTTAGGGGCTCGGTTGGGGCCAGTGTTCTGTAGCCAGCGTCTGTCTTTCTGTCATTTGACGTCATTTTGCTGACCACAATGGCCAAAAAAGACGATCTTCTTTGATGGACAAAAATTGGCAAAGTTATAGAAAAGATATCATCAAACTGAGATAGTCTAACGATAGAATTTGCCCTACAAAATGCAGACAATATCATTTCAGAGGGTCAAGATTTCAAAATTTTCCAAGTAGGGGAGCATGCCTCAGAACCCCCTAGGATTTCCGTGCCTCCGGTGCTTGACATGCTGTTACACCCCCAAAAAATGAGATGACAAAAAAAAAAAAATTCAGGCTGGCTAGAACAGTGGTTGGGATTGTTATAAAATGGGACTCAACTTCTTAAGAGCAAGACGCAACAAAACTGTCTGAAGTCCCAAGTGTATAAGGAAACCAAATTGACTAGGATAAAAGCTGAACACCATGACAAATTTCAGTACAAAGCTAACTATACGTTATGTGGGTTGGGGCTACAGATGCTACAAGCAGAGACCTTCAGCTCAGCCGAGTAAATTAGAGTCTAAGTCAAGTTGGTAAGCTGTCAAAATTGCCTGCTTATGTAGATTTAAAGTTACAGTCAAACTTGCCCAAGTGACCACCTCTATAAGCCAGCCAATGACCACTTTTTCTCGTCCCTATTTGTTTTATTTCTCCCCATAGACGTAAGCTTTAGACAGGGCAGTCTATTGTGAAATAGATGGAAATTTTGCTGTGTACTTGTGACCATGCGTTTTGGGTAAGAGGACCACTTGTCCAAAAAGACCACTTTTTCTCAGTCCCTTGGGTGGTTGTTTTAGACAATTTTGACTGTACTTTGTGTGCTGTCCTCTAGAGTGTGTGACAGGCTGAATAAAAGTTCTAAACAGGAACTATGCGGCTCCAGGTGTCTTACTGAGGGACAACTGCGTGTGCAAGATGTCGCTTAGCTTGAGGAATGAATCCCCTCTACTATATACTCTAGTCTAGAGTAGGTTCTCACATTAACAGAGCCTACCAGCCGATATTGTGTGGAACTGCAGTGCCCACCAGACCAGATCTCTGTTTTTTATAGATCTCCTTATCGAAGCACCTTTGGTATTTGCAGCTGTCACGGCCCGCTCCCATCTATCTGCGGCATAATTCCCTTGACCCCGCCACTCTTTCCTGTGCAATATTACTTCAGGAAAAGCCTGCTTAAGCCGCCTCTTTTTCATGAGATTACGGATTAGAAAGCCAATAGCGGTGTGGGTGTGACGGATGATGGATTGGAACGCTGCCAGATCCCAGTTGGCCTGGCAAGATGCTAGAACCTACGTTGCGTCAGTATCTCATGTTGTAACTTTTTTATCATTTGCGGGGGAAGGCTCGACTGGGTGTAGAATTATCATTTGGCAGGGAAGGCTCCAACGAGTGTAGAATTATTTCTTAGAGAGACTCTTTTGCACCAGTTGGCCTGGGAAGACACAACCCGCTCAAACCAATGCTGCGTCACTATCTCACGTTCTAACTTTTATATCATTTGGCAGGGAAGGCTCTATTCTATGCATCCACCGGGTGTAGAATTATTTCTTAGAAAGACTTTTTTTCACCAGTAAATGGCCTGGGAAGATGCAACCCGCTTGAACCAAGCACGTCGACAGAACTTGCTGCGCCTGCGCATAACCCACATTTTTCACCATTTTTGTTTTCAACAATGCATCAGAAAAGATGTCTTTTCTGACAAAATATTTACAAACTACAGATGGAGTGTTAACCTTATATGCGCAAATACGACCTTATATGAGACGTTCTGCCGAAGTGCTGTGCACAATACATTACGAGTTTCGCGCAGGTGCAGTACGACTTTTGCCAATGTGCTCGCTTGAAACCAACATTGCCTCAGTATCTCATGTTCTAACTTTTATATCATTTGGCAGGGACGGCTCTATGCATCCATTGGGTGTAGAATTATGTCTTCGAAGGACTAAACTGTTTTGCACCATTCAAAATGCTTTCCAGGCAGAGAATTCCACCGATGGCATCGGGAATTGTTCAAAAGACCACTGCCGTTATCAGCCGCCGCACGCCTACATTTATTTAACATTACCCCGGCGTTACTGAAAGCCTCGCAATCTAACGCACAGGCGGCGGACTTAAGTGCGTGGAATTTTACGAGCGGAAGAAAGGTTTTGTGCACTGACATTACTTTTTACTGCCCTATTGGCTACGTCTGCTATTGTAGAGCGATTCGCAGGATGCCTGTCTATTACTGATATCCATACCATAGCTACTTCACCTACTCAGATGCCACAGGCCAGTTTCGATGCCACTACTTCAGCATCTGGCAGTAGAAACTTGGGACCTACTTTGTCCTCCAGTGAACTTTTTTCTATCGCAAATAAGCCTTAGGAATACCAAGTAACTTCTAGCATTCATAACGTTGGTTTAGTTTTATGATGTACGGCTGACAAGCCCTTTTGATGGAGGGTGGGCGACAAAAAGGAAAGGTAATACTTACTCGACATAGTAAGTGCCGTAGTGTGGATCGTCTATCCTCTCCCAACCATATGGCAGCAGCTCTGGAATACAAAGAAGAGATTTCTTATTGTCACGGAGGAAAGACCACCAGTAACTTATAACAAGCTTTCAAACCATGAAAGACTGCCTCTTTTTTCCTTATAACAATCAATAACTGGTAAACCCAAATGAACCATTACAAAAAGAAAGATATATTTTCTGAATTGTCTGGCAGAGAGACAAATTCAGTACATAGGAGAAGGAAAATGCAGTTTTGCCAAAAACTGGATGAACGTTACCTGAATCCTGTACATTTTGCCCAATGTTGGCCATTGTAGAACGCTGGGGAGTCAACTTTGAAAAGCTTATACAAGGAAATAGCTAACCCTCTGAAACCTACCAGCCTAAGAACACGTAGATAGGGTCATGTTGGTAGTTAGCACTATCTTGGGACCCACTTAAAACTAGCGACCTTTTTGTAGGTCAACCATTTTAGGAGCTGGGGAACCCACTACAGACCGTACCACAAATTCTACCATTGTATTTTCACTTTAGGGCGTAAATTATTCATAAAGGGGAGGTCATCTGTCACAGTACACTATGGTGCAGTTTTAATAATAAATTCTATCTGATATACTTCCTGTATGCATAATAGCATACCTGTAATTTTGATGTTCAAATTCAGATGGAAATAAACAGGATTTATTCTAAAAATTGCAATCATGTTAACGAAGGAAAACATTTTTTTTGCTCTATTTCTTCTACTTCTCAAAACAAAGGTCAATGACCTGAACCAGACGTCTGTCTCCATGGTAACTGGTGTTGGGTTACATCATGTTGCAATTTTATAACAGGAAGGATTTAGACTCCTTTCACCATATACATGAATGTGTTTAAGAAGTAACAGAGCAGATCATATGTGAAGGTAAACATTATGCTTTCGCTTTGCAAATGTTATCTTTCAATTTTTTTTTCTTTTATCAAAAATTTTTGTTAATCATTTGTGGTTCTTACCCTCTTCTGTATCCTCCCCCTGATTTGGCACATTTTGTTGACCTCCATCCTGCCCCCCCTCCTGGAGTCGTGGGTCGTCCCAATGGGTCGTCCCTGTGTTGTGGCTGTAGGTGGAAAGAAGGGAGCCTTACAATGGGGTCGTGTCAAAACAGTTTGTCAATACCAACAGATATTCATTTCACTGCAAAGGGGACTGTAAATATATCGTTTAGGAAAAAGATGAACTGAATCATCTCTATCCCTAAGCAGTAACTAATTTTCTAATTATAAAGACGACGCTACTTTATGATTTAAATGATCATGGCTAGTAGCCAGAGTATCAATTGCTATATATTTTCTTGTTGTAGGGCTTTATCATTCTGGTTTTTAGTCTTTATCTTCAAGTTCTATCATCAGTTTTGTCATTATCTGTTAATTGAGGACGTATGATATAATCGCTTAAGTGAGACTACTGTTTTATACCTGTAATCAATAGATTAACAAAGAATGATATCTACAAAAATCAGGTATGACATTGTTATGTGCGCCGAAGCATACAAAACAGCAATGTAGGTTGTATCACGCCCTTCGTCACTACAATTCATTATGATTCATTCGATGTGCAAGTCTGAAGTGTCTACACTACTTAATAATTCATCCGTGCTATCTCTTCGGAAAGTTTCTGGATGTAATTTATATGTAACTAACTGAGAAAAATTTTGGTTATAGTTTGATTCATAAGGCCACATCAATTTAATTTGTTGTTTCTCAGATTCACCCTGTCCATTATTTTTCTGATTTGCAAAAAAAAAGAAGATTTTAGGTTCAGAATCAACGCCAAAATGCTCAATGAAAGACATATTTTGGCCCCAACGGTTAAAGAAAGTCCTTTTCTTCCTAGTTTTTCAATGTGATAATGCAACTTTGTTTCATTAAAAGTTCAAAATCTATTGTTTTAATTATACACCAGCCTGGTATATTGACTTCATCAAGTTCATGGCTCATATGTAACATTTCCGGCCTTCATGGGGTACCTTGGCCTGTTTTTTTTTCTTTTGTTTCGCCCAGTTGCTATGATATTTTTTCTGAAAAATTCCAAGAAACAACAAATTAAATTGGTGTGGCCTAACAATGCATAACTGAAATTCAAGTACAATCACCGATAAGGAAATGTGAAGAAAATCTTTAACAAGTTGGCCCCGAGAGCGATGGGCTTGCATATTAAGTAGACGGTTGGGGCGAGATATGGCGGATTCTCCGTCCTAATCCTAATTGAGTTATCACTGCGAAATCCGACGAATGCCTCGCTGATGAATCCGGGCGTGAATTCACAATGAAAACGTCGCCGGCAATCTCGTCAGTAGAATACCACCTGACGGGGTGCATTAGTCATGTTCCTTTGAGCGGTAGGGTTGGGGCGCTGGCAAACAAAGCACTCAGGGCTTGAAATTAAAGGTGGTCCAATTGCAACTGACAACTAAAGTTTAGACTGGGACAACTAAAAAGACACTTCTTTGGGACAATAGAAAAATTATCAACATCAGAATGTCAGCCATTCTCAGGGTTCTCCCCAGAAAATTTTAGTATGAGGGAGGAAACTTACCGAGCATACACTAAGCGACGCGCAACGCCCTCCGGAGGAGGAAGCTATAGCATTTTGACTGTTATAAATAGAAATGGAGGCCATTTCCTGCAATTTCAGCCTTCTGTCTTTCCTAAATATACAACTTACACATAATAGCTTAAGAGACTCCAACACCAAGTTGAAAGAAAAGAAATGGCACATTTAACCATGATTTAACTTCAAGATCAAGGTGTTGGGACTCTTCTAGCTTATTACTATAATTGGAAACTCAATTTGTATGTGGTTGTCATTATGCATTTATTTGCCGGTAAATGTGTAACATTATAACAAGACAGGTAACAGCATCTTATAGAAGTCACAAGAGGATACATCTCCTTTATTTGTAGTTCTGCACCAAGCAGTGCAGCACTTGTATACACTTCTACTAGAACAGTCTTCACTATAGCAGGGTTCTCCCCAGGATTTGAGAGGCATGGCCCCCCCTCCAGAGGGGGGGAAGCTGAAGCATTTTTCTTTATCTAAATACAAATGGAAGCCATTTCCTGCAACTTCTAGGTTTTGAACTGCCAGAAAAAAATGTTAACATACAGGAAAAAATTGGGCATAGGTTCCACGCTCTGACCCCTAACCGGGGGCCAACGGTGCCTTCAAGTTCGACAATTGAAACAGAATATGACATTAAGTCATACATTTTCCACTTGGAACTTGAGGCAAGCAATTATGGGAAAATGTAGAGAAGCTGGGACAAAACCTTATCCTAATGCTAATCCTTATGTTATCACCAACTTGTAAACAAGTCCCTTATAATTATCAAAGTACCATCAAGAGTACCATCAAAACAAAATTTCACTTCTCTAACATTAAATAATCGGTCCCATGTTTAGGACTAACAAAGTTACACATTCAAGAAAATACTTCTGAATTTAAAAAAAAAAAAGAAGAAAAAAAAGAAATCTGAAGAAAAAAATATTAATCTGCACAACATTTTATTGGTTTCTATCACTTTGCTTGTCTACAAGTCGATAATGTGATTGTATCAATTTTCAAACGCCCTAAAATTAGCTAAATCGGCGAATTAAGCTGATTGCGCAATGGACGTGCCCTATGACCTTCGACCTTTTGGGGGTCATGCAGGCGTCAACAGTGCCCTCCCCATGCCTTGCCCGTCCGTTTTCGTCGGCAAATTTCTGCTTTTTTAGAGGTTTTGAGACCTTAAAACTCATACCATGGGAGAAATAAACCACATACGTTATTTTTATGGTAAATATCGCTAAAATGGACCATGCATTTTTTTGTCGCGTTGCCGATTTTTGGCAGAAGCCTTGCGGTGCGGCCGCCATGTGCTACGCCGATAGGTACAGGCCATCCCCCGTCCGGGTTTGTGGGCAAAATTCAGATTTTTTTAAACGTTTCGGGACTTAAAAACCGACAGCAGGGGAAGAATAAATCGTATACGTTATTTTCATGGGAAATACCGCTATCATGAACCAGACATTTTCTGTCGCGTCAACGAATTTCGCGGCCGCCACATGTTCATAATGTCGCGGTACGGTAGGGAATTTTCTACGGTTTATAAGTTCGTAAACGTATCGGCTTTTATTTTTAAACTTATTATCAGGGTCGAGGGCTTTGGTTTACAAAGAAATCATTTCTTTACACGACTTCAAAACGCTAGCGGGGCGCCCGATGTTCCACCAATGACAGCGATTCTCTCAGTAGCGTCGTGCGAAATACTTATTTATGACGATTTACCACATTTGTGGAAGGATTGACATAACAGGTGACTATCACCTTTACAAGATGTCAAGCCTGAGACCAGACTGTAAGGTTTGAACCACTCACACCGGGAAGGTCCCCTACTCTTTTCGATAAGTGCGGTGGATTCTTTTACGTGTGTGGGGTGTGGCTCTCCCAAACACGGGACCTCCATTTAACGTCCTATCCGAGGGACGTCCCTAACCGAAGCTAGGTACTCATTTACACCTGAGTGAAGTGAGGAAAGTCGTGTAAAGTGCCTTTCCCAAGGGCACAAGATCGGTGACATGGGCAGGATTCGAACCCGCAACCTCTCGGGTGTGAGCCGAACGCGCTACCGACTGCGCCACACGACCCCACACATACTCATTGTTTACTCGATTATCGCCCCATTCACAAGTTTTCAGAGACAATGCCGGCGGTAAAATAGACGCCACTAAGCCCCGAAATCAGAAAATTTTATCGAATTTTAGCGAAATTTTGTAGAAAAATCGGGATGCAACACCCTAGATTTGAAAATGAGTATGAGGGCGCTGAGCTAGGAGTATCAGGGCGCAGCGCCCTTGTTCCATCGTCTGGGGAGAACCCTGCATTCTTTTGTTTATCAGGCACACATTCCGGCTTTTAGATCCGGAAAAGTCCCCTCCAAATTTCCTGTCTACTCTGCAATTATAGAGCGCCTGGGAGTGAACATAAGGAAAATAAAGTTCACTGTAAGTTGAAGTCATACAATACTTCCCAAAAAACAGGCTGGGACAGTTCATCCTCACTGCGGGACAATTGAAATTTATTTTTGGGACAGTGCTGGGACAATACTAAGTAGCAATACTAGAAGAAGAAATACTAGAGGAAGAAAAGTTAATTTCGAGGCCTGACAAAGCACTTACTCGATGAAATACATCTCGTTATTGTCGGTGTACGCCACCTCCCAGTTGTCTGGCAACGGGCCCAGATCCTGCTGCTCCGTTGCCATGGTGATGGAATCGCTCCTCTTCCGCTCTACCACCTCCTTCTCGTCCCCCGCTCTGCCATTGATGGTGCTCTTGGGGCTTTCCACATTGGACTGGTTGCGTTTCCTCTTGCCCTCGGAGGAAGGGTGTGAACCAGGTCGGAGATCGCCGGTAGAACTGGACTTCTTCAAGCCTGCGGTAGCTTCCTTCGGAGGCTTTGGAGTTCCGTAATGGTTACCTGCGACACAAGAAACAAGTTGTTAGAAATCCTTACTATGTTTACCGAAGGAAAACATATTGTTTTTGCTCAGTTTCCTCTTCTCCAAACACAAAAGGTCAATGACCTGAACCAGGCAGTCTATCACCATGGCAACTGGTGTTGGGTTACATCATGTTGCAGTTTTAGAGCAGGAGGGATTTAGACTCCTGTCACCATATACATGTATATGAACGTGTTTGAGTGTGTTCGAGCACTTCCTAATACATTTCGGAGAAGTGTCGCAGGTTTTCAAACTGTTGGGCCTTTGGGGGGTTACTCTCTTTTGAGCTGCTTTTAACTCTGATATATTGCCAATTGCCCCACATGACTCAGTGAAGATACAGCTAATGCATCAAGGAATGCTCTAAATCCACTCCTCTTCATCTTAAATGAATACTAATATCATTCAATGTCCTACGTGTACCTTGCTTACTTAGACTAACATAAACACTCAATTCCCTTTTATATTAATTATCGCTTGGGGCTCTAACTAATGAGTGTACCGACGAATTATGCAATGAGGAATTTAAATCCCTCTACGTAACTACATGTATCAAGGGTTTCTGTGGCTTTACTAACATATAGTAACAAATAAAGTGAGTTCACCATCGGTAAATTAGAACATATGGTTTCAAAAGACCTCATCCCAATCCTGTGGGTGAACTTCATCGTAGGGAAAATCCCATCAAGTATTTCATGCATTTTGAAGGTCAAATTTTGCTGATGATAGGCAAAGGCTAAATCTTACTCTTTTAATGTTTTTCGTACAAATGTATTATTACGTGATGATTTTGTAAATCAAAGATGACAGATTGGCCCAATTTTTCATGACCCTGTAAAATGGTATTTCCTGCATTTTGAGGGTCAAATTTTGCTGATGATAGGCAAAGCTTTGTTTTGATGTCACCTCTTTTATTGTTTTCAAACAAATTACATGCTGATTTTTGTCCAATCAAAGGTGACGGATTGACAAATTTTTTATCTGTCATGATATGGAAAATTTAATCAAAAGAAAGAAAGACAGCTAGGACTTGATAAATAATAATTAATAAATCATATCCTTACCGTCGTACAGACCGCTCTCTAGTAGATTTCCACTTTTCTCCAAGGCCATAAACTCCTCGACCGTCAGGAACTGGTAGTCCACCCCCTGCACCTCACCCTCCCGAGGGCCTCGGGTCGTGCCTGAAACAACACCACAACACACTTCAACACATAACCCAACATCTGCTTGGAGAAAACCCTATATAGTGTTAGTGAGCACGTCGGCAGAACGTGCTACACCTGCGCGAATCCCGTAATGTATTGTACATAGCAAGGAGTAATATGTAAGCAGGTGCTTACATATTACTACTATAGCATTTTGGCAGAATGTCTCATATAAGGTTGTATTCGCTCATATAAGGTTAGCATTTCGACAGTAGTTTCCAAATGTTATGTAGGAAAGAATATCCTCTGCAACAGGCAAAATTCTGATGCAACGTTGACCAAAAACCCCACGAAAAACGCGAAAATACTGCAGGCGCAGTATGTTCTGCCAACGTGCTGTGTTAGTGTACACTCACAGATGACAGAAGCCAACGATACCAATGACCTGTTATAAAAAATTCCATCAAGGTAGGGGTGTTTTCTGAAATACATGTATTACATGACCTATAAAAACTGCTACAATGAAACAACACCATAGCACACTTCTCCAATGACCTGTTGCAAAAGTCCATAAAGACAAGGGGTTTTTCTGAAATATGACCCATAAAAACTGCTACAGTGACTGTGTAAAACATCACCTTGTGCATTCTAGCAGGCTTTTAGCTAGGGGGTATCCAGGGTGTCTTTTGGACGCTTGCGCTCTGTACTGAAAATAATAAGAAATTGGACGCCATACTTTTTGGAAGAACACCCTCCTTTTTCCACTCCCAAACCCTGCCATGCACACGTGTCCCTTCAGCCTTACTATAAATACAAAATTGATGGTATACTGAAGGAGAAAAACTAAAATTTCTCAAAATTTGTACCTCAAAATGCAGAAAGTAGTGTTTGAGAGCATTACGAATTTCAAAAAAGCCCCCCCCCCAAAAGCTTGTGCACTATGCATCTTCTCTGCCCATAGCATACAATAAAAAAATGGACACCCATTAAAAAAATCCTCGCTAAAAACCTACATACTACTAGCAACAACATACCAAGCAACATACAGTATCAATATGAGTATAAAGAGGTTGCAAGTTACACGTACAGCTGCGAACATACAGACACAACTGATTACAATACCTCTTTCACAGAGTAACAATAAAAATCCTTTTCTGTGAAGTTCCAACCTCCAGTAGTCATTTCAATCCTATGATTTCATGGGATGACATCACTGTTAACTTTGACCTACATCTGTATCACAAAAGAACATGTGCAGAAACAACTTGTCAATCATTCCTTTGTACAGCAGCACGAACCTACCTTTAGACATGTAGTCACAACCACCACACGAGTTTATGACATTTCACCAAAGCATTGGAAGCGTACACAACTGCGCATCCCCTCGGTTGACACAAATACATACACATATTTCATCTCCATGTGACCAACCCATTTCCTACACCATGAATATTTCAACGCTTTTTGAATCGGACTATTGTGTCAATAAGGTTTTATATACATCATGCTTGGATGGTTCCATTTGTCAATTCGATAAATCCATAAAATATTGCTACCCTCATCTTATGATACGCAAATCCTACCTTACTTGCACACCCACATCTAGTTACATGTGAGTTACTAGTTATGCCAGCAGTATTTTATGCCAGGTGCAAGGCATCATAACTACAGTATTGAGTTCAACATCTAATATCACGGCGGCTAGTTTTCCGTGATTTGCCGCAAGACACGACTGAAAAATCCGAGTAATCAAATTTCAAGGATGATTTCATTTCGGTACGGGACTGTCAGATAATCCACGTACAATTTGATACTTTGTTGAAAGTACGCCAGACTACAATAACACGGGGCGCACTTAGAAAAGATAAGCTGCACGATCTAATTACGTTCTGACGTCAATCTGTCCAAATACTGGAAGTCTGACTTTTAATTTTGAATCCATCACTGCGTGTTGCACGGTGTGTGCGTGTTTTATTATTCACATTTCGCAGGTAGGTCAAGCCATATCCAGCTTTGTATCAGAAAACTTTTCAAATAACACTATATTCAACTCAGTGAACCTGTGACATTTTTTTTATTGGTACATGTATCAGTGAGTCACTTACTAGTAGCAAGGACATTACAAAGAGGATATACATTTATATAATGTCCTTGCTATTAGCAATTCTAGAAAATAATGACTCACTCAAAGTTTAAATCAAACTCAAACTTGTCCAATGAGGAGCATTTTCATATGCACTTCTCTTGACACAAAATCTAACTTTACTCAAAGTAACACTAACAGTTGATAAAAAGTAAGCAAATTGAAAACACCAAAGCTGACCAATAGTAAGATCTGCATAGCACAACAAAAAAGAAATGCTAGCAACTGAAATAAACCTTTTTAGATGTCCAGTAGCTAAGCAGTAACTTCCAACATAAATGTGGTCTACCTGAAATGAAAAATGGCAAAATCTATCCAACTTATTGAAGGCTAACTTTGCAGGAAGATAATATACTAGTAACAATAATTTTGACTATAAATTATGACCTAGTTATGAACAAAATAAACATGCTGTTTGTTTACGTTATCACTGAAGTGTCAACAAGGGTTTACTGTTCAATGGTACAATCAGGCATGTAATGAATATGTACAAATGGTCATTTGGACGGCAATGAATATCTACAGCTGCCTATTACAAACTCATTAGGGGCTTTATCATGCATTGCAAACAGGCAGGATCACTACACCCACATACAGGGGGAGGGTGACTCAACAAACTAAACAATAGGTGCTGATTAGAAAGAACAAAAGCCTGGACAATCAGGCACTGCTGTATGCTATAACAGTCAGTAACAGACTTCCTGTACTTTACTTTATGTTCACGGTAGCAAAAGTTCACGGTCTGAGAAAACTGGACATGTTCACAGAACTATATATTTACGGTGGCGACAGGTGCAGGAAAAAGAAAGTCCAGGAATCATTTGTTAACTGTAATGATAAGTTCGCAGTACAGAAGTGACAGTGAAAACAGTGAACATAACAGTACGGTGAAAAAATTAGGAATTACAGTAATCCACGACTTTACAGAAAAAGACAGGGATGGTTTGCAACTAGCCTATACCAGGCTTCACTTTGCTGTTCTAGAGTGCTAAACTGTACTCTTTTAGCGGACTAACTCCCCTGGTATGTAATCTGTCTATTTGGCCAATTTCCTACTTTTTCCAGCAACTTCTGAAGCCTGGTAGAGACTATTACATATAAACAATGTACATGAGTCATGTGTATATAAAGGATATTTAGTAGCAAGGATATTATATAGAGGATATACAATTGTAATCATACAGTAATGTCCTTGCCAGTAGCAATTCTAGAAAATAATCATTCACTAAAACCTGTCAAATGAGGCATATTTTCATATGCACTTCTCTTGACACAAAATCTAACTTTACTCTAAGTAACACAACTAACAGTTGATAAAAAGTAAGTAAATTAAAACATAATATTTCTTTTTATAAAAAAAAAAAACATTTGAAAATAAGGAAAATAAATAAGAAACAGTGGGAGCTGTGCCACGCAAGCCATCAAAAATATTTCCAAGCAGATTAACGAGAAAACTTTTATGTTTCTCTTAATTTGTTTTCTTTTCTGCTTGTTCACATTTAGATGGCATATTTCAACCCTGCTTGACATACAAATTATTAGCCTTCCCGCACGCACTTGCAAATAAAGTTTCATTATATTTTCACCCAAACAACGGGGAGCCACATAAACTCTTTCCCTCCGCGAGAGTTATGATTCCACTAAACGTCAACATAAATCAAGTGAATGGACATTACCTTCCTGCTGTTTACTCACTGTCAGACCTTATTACAGGGTGAGGTGCCTGAAGGCTGGGCCTTTCAATAAAGGCAAGCTGCCCCAGCTGTTTGTAAGAGTTAACGCCACCAGATCCAATAACACCTCGTTTGACAGAGACACTCTTTCCCCCAGCTCCTGACCTGGGCATCTTTCATCTCACCTATCACCACCTTGCAGAGACTATTTTCATTTTGGTAGCAAATTGAGTCAACAGAAAGCATGGCCTGCCTCAAGTTATAATATAACTTCATTCCTGCACATGCCAGTCCAACGCCTTTGCGCAATCTATGTACTAGTAGCTGGCTGTAAAAGTAAGAAATGCTCAGCTGCTGTGTCTTCAACTTTCTTTGAACTTGAACAGCTTTAGAAGTCCATCTGTCTTGGGCTGTGAGACATAAACTGTGACAACTTACAGATGGCTTTGTTATCAATTCTGAAAAGTTCACGAACTGTGATGTACGAATGTTTTTCTTTGGAAGTTGGAGGTGGCGTTAGTCAGAAATGTTGCTAACACCAAGAACTCCTTGCTGACACATAATTTGTACCTTTTGCACAAAAAGATAGTATTAAACCTTGTTCTAATTTTATGCTTTCCATTGCACCCTACTACACCTCCATGTAGGACAAAACAAAATACTACTAGTGTTAGTATTAGGAGTGTGAAAGGCACAAATTCTGTAACAACTTTGTTGCCCATTTTCTTTTCAGATTAACATATAACTTAGAATGCTGACACCTCTTACCCTCTGGGTCAAGGAACAGCCAGAGACACACAACTTATCCCAGTAAGAAAACATACACCACACCACCAAAACACTCCCTTCAAACGTGGGGAGGGGGGCAGAAAGAAAAGTTTTCGACATCCATGCCAGTATGGGTGGGCTTGGGCCATCTGTTCCTGATACCACAACACTGTGTTCTCACCTGCAGATCTAGGCCGATCCTCCGCACAGCTAACCAACTTCTTCACCATCACAAACTTTCAACTTCTACCTACTTTGGCCGGAAAACGCACGAGAACTGTTGAGAGAAAAAACTGTCTGGACTTCCCAGACGGGAGATTTCCCTAGCACTCTGTGTCCTGAGTGTGTGAGGGCCTCCTCCGCATGGTGCCCTGCAGTGATTCATGCAAATTCAGGGTTGCAGGCAGGAGGGGGGGAGGCGCATAACAATTGACAATCTGCCGCTTACTGGG